GAGCCACCTTGTTGATGGGCCTCCTTGCTGCAGGCGTAACATGTCAACGTTTTCATGCCTGTCTTTAGAATCTACGTCAGTACCATCTCTTTCACCAAAACGAAACCTCAATAAACTTATTGTGTAATTTGGTGTAAACGTTTAAGCCAATTCGCTATGGATCCATATGGCGTTTGTTGAAATATTTAGACAATTGATGACCTGGAACAAACCGACTATGCCAGACCTGACCATTTTATTTAAGGTATTGATGATGCTTCTTTTTTAACGGCATGAAACGCGTATTGTTCATGATATGATACGTTTGATGTTATACACATGGGATAAGATTTCTTCATGTTTTGCTAATTGTTCGAGGGGAACTACAAGAGGCGTGTTTTATCGATTTCTTCTCAGTCCATTCTTGTGTATGCCAGTGTCCTCCCGGTGCTGCTAATAAGCTTACACTTCACGCATTTATTCAAGAACCCCAACAGCAATCGATTCCCCGTACAGTTGTCATGGACTCTGGGTTTACCAGGCAGGATTTCTGGAATGTTTTTCCGAGAATTGTCCTTCACAATATTCGTTTCGTGTTTAATATGGATTCGGGATTGTTGCAAACATACGCGTATCCCTTTGCCCTCATCTCCATTGTTCATTGTACTTAAAAGGTTTGCTTTGTACTTCAACGAAAAATAAAACTTCAGACGGCGTCATCGTGATTGAGGTTGTCTTGAAAGGAAACATCTTTGAACAAAACGTGGACGTTGCTAACACATGGCGACACCACCTGATGCTAAACTATTTGTTGATATTACGTCACAACCGTTACATGTTTGTTTAGTGTTACGTGTCGATTCTCAAATTGAAACAATATGTTAACCCAGAAATCCGCACGTAAAAGAATTTAGTTTGAAACCAACAAACTGCCAACAAGTGGTATACAATCAATAAATGTTTTACACAATTCAATAGGTTTACAAACTGATACAAATTACTGCTCAACAATTATAATGGCAGTATACAAAAGAGTGGTAGTACAATATTCAGTGGCAATATATAATATGATCGCTGTGGTCAGTATCAAATACAAAAAATAGTGGTGATAGCCAAAATCAGTTATAATAATATATTCACCACAGGCAGCGATAGTGGTTAAGTTTCCGAGATGGACCGAGGCTTGGAATCCGAGGTGATAAGTGATCTCACACGAAAGCTGGTCTTGATTTCATGAAATATGGAATAAGTAAGGCAAGCGACCACTCCACTTATATAGTCCAACTAGCTTCCAGAACTTTCCACACAGTGCAGAATATTTCACATGTTTCTATAACGTTTGACATCCATCCATGCTATTCCGGAAGTTTACACATCACACTGGCATCTAAATATCGTAACGTCCGCACCACTGCTTACATTAAATAGTACTAAATTCCTGACAACTAATCATTGTTCAAATACAGTGCAATGAGAGTCTGCTGAATCTCAACCAAACAATGTGATACAGTTACAATCATTGTAAAATACACTATCTTATAATATCAGGGACAGTTGGGCTGCAGTAAACAAACATATCTATAAACAAACAAATCTAGGCTAGAGCAGTGATGACCAGATATTAAAGGCGTGTACAACGCTACACACGTACTACTAACCTGGGAACTGTTTCAATCAAAGGGATCTATCACGAACTCGTTAAACGGGACAGCTTTAGACAAATCTGTACTGAAACAGGTTTCATTTCTTGTTCACCTAAAAGTGAGTCAGTTTGGTTTTGATTTTTTTGTGCTGTTGTTTAACGCCTCACTCAGCAATATTCCAGCTGTGTGATGACAGTCAGTAAATAATCGAGTGTGGACCAGGCAACCCAGCGATTGACATCACGAGCATCGATCTACGATGACATCGATCTACGATGACCAAGTCAGCGAGCCTGATCACCCGATCCCGTTAGTCACCTCTTACGACAAACATAGGTTGCTAAATGGGGATGCGGGGTACAGTTTGTGAATTTCATTCCTCGGGGGATGCAAGAATCGAACTTCACCGCTGTGAATCGTAGGCGGATTTCCAGATAAGAAACAAAACGAATTTGATGCACGTGAAACACATTAAATCACATCCCGACTACGACATATCCATAGAAAAATAGAACATAGTGCAACGAATATGTCTAGCTGAATGCATGTAAATTAATAGTAAAGCGTTCTTTTCTTCAAACAACAGATAATACACACAGGGGAAAAGAGGATTATAAAATATTTTGGTTGGTTGTAATTTAAGGCCGCACTCAGCAATGTTCAAGCTATATGACTGCGGTCTGTAAATCATCGAGTCTGGACCAGACAATCCTGTGATCGACATCATGAGCATCGATCCACGCAGTTGGGGTATGATGACATGAATCAACCAAGTCAGCTAGCCGGACCACCCGAACCCGCTTTTTACGGCAAGCATGGGTTGCTGAAGACCTATTTTCTACCCGGATCTTCACAGATTTTGAGGTTAATCGAGAGAAGCCCGTACTCTGAACCTTTCTCGAAGTTTTTGGGATTATAGTTTCTGTCATGACTATCTTTTCGTGTCAAGTGGGGGCGGTCGCGTAGCCTAGTTGTTAAAGCGTTCGGCCGTCACGCCGAAGACCCGGGTTCGATTCCCGACATGGGTACAATGTGCGAATCCCATTTCTGGTGTCTCCCGCCGTGATATAGCTGGAATATTGCTTAAAGCGGCGTACAACCAAATTTACTCTCACTTCGAGTTAATTGAAGTTTCATATGAGAAGTTTCATTGTATGTTCGACATAACAATGGTGAAATATTGACAAAACTTTTACTGCGTACATTTTACTCAATTACCAAAATATACAACAAAAAAGACAACAAATGCATTAAAAACGTCCTACTTTATTTACATAAAATTTAATTTAATTATTGATCCATAACAGAGATGTTACGTTATAGAAAAAAAATTCTTTATAACAATTAAAAAGAACCGAACACAACCATCGTGCAGTTCTTACTGGTGTTAATTAATGTATCACCTCAGTTGTAACACAACCATCGTGCAGTTCTTATTGGTGTTAATTAATGTATCACCTCAGTTGTAACACAAACTAAGTGCTACGTGGCTGCTAATATTGGGACCCGTGAAGATCCAGGTTAGAATAGGTCTTCAGCAACCCATGCTTGCCATAAAAGGCGACTATGCTTGTCGTAAAAGGCGACTAACGGGATCGGGTGGTCAGGCTCGCTGACTTGGTTGATGCAGGTCGTGGATCCCAATTGCGCAGATCGATGCTCATGATGTCAATCAATGGATTGTCTGGTCCAGACTCGATTATTTTACAGACCGCCGTCATATAGCTGGAATATTGCTGAGTGCGGCGTACAACAAAAAACCAAACCAAACCAAACCAAACCAAAGTTAATATTGGTCTATAGGATCGGGCACACTGTTGACATTTGACATTTATAAATTTCGTGCCAGACTAATGGCGATAGACATATAAACGGTACATCCACGATTGTGTGGTCCTATGTGAATAGAGAAGTCACGGAGTTAATTGCATCTGCAGTAAGTCACCCGAGGGATCCTAGCTTATTATTCAGTGGGAATTGCATCCTTATCTAATCTGTATTTAGCTGCGTCCCTGTCGACCTTGGGAGGCCACGTTGTGTTATGTAAGTGATGGCCCTGATGGTGGTATTCTTGACACTGCGCTCAGATTATGAAAGATGGTTCACAAATATATTTACCTTTGCACAACTTGTTGTTTTTTAGAATGAAACTTATAACTTTTAAAAATTGCACATGACTGTAGTTGGCACTGATTTGTGGTTTGAATTTCTCACCAATGATAAGTCAGAGGTTTCAAATTACAATAACAGGTCTCTTGTTAAACTACGTGAATTGTCACTCGCCAGTATTCCATGCTAATCATAAGATGCATCTAATGAGGGCAGTGTGGTGAGACGCGGAGGTCGATTTGTGTCATCGTGCCCCGACTGCGTGGTGTGTTGCTCATGCTGTCAGTCACTGGTTTGGCTGGTTTGGTTTGGCATTGACTGACTTCATACATCGTAAGATAAGAATGACCGCAACAGACCTCGCCAGGGTCCCTCGTGGTAATAACGGTAGAGGGGCGTTCAACTTCGTATTACATTGAAAGATTCTCACATATTTACGTATGATACAGAAACTCCTTTTATTCCCGTATGACAAAAAATAGTTCTAGTATTTAAAGACATAGATACGACAACGATTGAAATAACAAGTAAAACCACATCGCAACGTGACACATCACAACGAGCGTAACGTATCTGAAGACGAAAGACAGTTAAATAATTCGTTTCTCTGTTCGCTGTTTGAGGCAATTGACCAAGAAACCTTATACGCGCATTTGGATGCATAGCATATCAACCGAGTCTTACCCGAGTTGATCTGTATTTGTCAAGACTTAGTATGACATTAGAAAGATACGAAACATACATCTGGGTACGTGTGAATCGTCTTTACGGACTTAAGTATCCGATTTTACGGCTTTTTTCAAACGTCTTAAATTGTTGTGCACAGATGTACACGACAAACTAATTCACAAATTATCCCGTTCATGTCTTACGACCAACCCATTTTCCACGTCGTCCGTGGTTGTAGACGCAAATATGTTCTTGAACACCACTCCACCGATAACACAATGCTGCAGAAGATAAAGGTGTGTTTTGAAAATTCTGCTGTAACAAAAATAGACTGCCTTTGAATATCTAAAATACAATGGCATGTGAAATGTTGGTGACGAACTGCCAAACAACACACTTTCTATGTCATAGCACCGAGACATTCGACAGTAATCACGACCCTATATTTGTACAACAGATATATTTTTAAAAAGAGCATGGGTCGGTCTGTGAACTAATCATCTATCTGCTGTGTACCATACACTGTTGGTGAAACAGCGCAAACATGGCACTGATTGTAATAACGGCTTCCAGCTCTGTGGTCTGTGATCTTAGCGTTCAATCTCTGTGATAGTGGCATCGATGTGGAATCGATCGGATCGATACTAGGAATGTATAAATCCCTCCTCGCCATCGGCTGCGTTCACTTCACCTCCTCCCGCTACAAGCGTCATCACGGCTCTCAGGTAAGTGCTTCGCCGCTTCCAGTTCGTGATAGAGTGTTACTATAGCCGCTGTGGCTATGTGGAGATGTATAAACGAAACTACATTATCTTATCATATTTAGTTTATCATTATTATTTTTAAATCTTTTATATCATTTTGTCAAAGTTTGTGGTGTTTTTCGTGATTTAATAAATTTTCTTATCATATTTAGCTATCATTTGAACATTTTCCATCCTCATCTTTCATAATAACATCGACGTTATTTGGTGCTCTCTGGTGTATTTAATTCCTTTGCTGACGCCTAATGAGTAAACTTAATATAATTACTGATAAACCTAATCTGCAAAAAGTCGTCATAAAAATGTCAATAAAGTTTTTTCATCTCTCGACAATAACATTGGTTATTAATGGTTGAAAATGTATCAACGATGGTTGTATTTCTACGTTAACGTGGTAAACCCCAATGTAACCTGACGGGCAAAATAAAATATACACCCATGTTTGATTGCGCTAAAAAGGAAACAGATAAAAAATATTTATTCGTTTGTGATGTATTTGATACGGGTGTCATAGTTGTGTTTTGGACCATACGTTTGCACTGTTTCGGCGACTGTTTTTAAGCCCAGTAGCGTTGTGATGAGGTTTGTAATTGTTTGGTAAAATCCAATTTATATGTTCATGCTTCCTTTTGCCCGAAGTTTATGAAAATACCAGATATTACCCAGTTGCTAATGTAGCAGCTTTTGTCGAATTCAGATCAGTTCGTTGTTTAAAAAGATGTTTGTTTAGAAACTTGGTTATGTCAAAATCAGAGAAATGGCTTTTTGAAAAGCTCAGACACTGTCAAAGTCAGTAACCTGGATTTTTTTGCGTTTATGGAGGTTAAAACCTAAAAGTATGTGTGCTCACTGTGTAAAAACGCGTTGCGAATTTACGCAAAGTGTGAACACCGGTTTGTACCTCTACAACTCCATAAACGTAAGAACATATTGACGTCAGTTGTTAGGGATGAACACGTCAACAATATAACTTCCCAGACTGATATTTAAGGATCAACACACAAAAAACTATACGAATACGAACCAAAACGAATTTAGTGACATCGTTCAACGCAATAATGCAACACAAGCCCCGCCCATTCTATTATCAGCCAATCGGGAAACATCAGGTCGTTATGGAAACATTACGACAAAACAAATTTGGCTTGCCAGTAAAATGCCACGGAATCACTTACAATTTATTTATTAAATTGGGTAAGATTTTTTATACTAAGAAATATACGGCTTTTCTAAGTTGGACGCTCTCGCTATAGTTCATCTGTTTGTTTGCGAGTAGGTTCAGGAGAACATGCCGTGTACAATGTATGGGGAATGTTATAGGGTTCCGTTGTGTATGTACACAAATGTTGACTATTGGACCAGATTCTTGTACATGAACTCTGTGGGGATTAAGGGTTAGACAAGGTCCACAGCTACGACTGGATCGATTTGGTGGTCAGGCTCCGTGACTTGGTCATCGTACCACGACTGCGTGGATCCTTGCTCACATTATCAGTCACTGGTTTGTCTGGTTCAGACTCGATTATTTACAGGCCGCAATCATGTAGCTGGAATATTGCTGAGTGCGGTGTTAAAGAACAAGCAAGAACATTGTACATGCCTTCATCAAGATAACAAAATATGCCGCAACATGATGCTGTTCTTCGATAGGAGGGGGCACGGGTGGTCCAGTCGTCTAAGGCGCCGCGATTCGCTGTGCAGAGTTGCGTCCCTTGGGCACGCCAGAAACCTATGATTGTGGGTTCGAATCCAGGTTCGCCCCGGTTATGTTTCTAGGTTTGTCAGCACCATACCCGTGCTTGTGGGTTTCACCGAAGTGGTAAACGTCTGAGCCCTGCATCACTTCGGGCTTTCCTCCCACATTAAGCTGACACGCCGTGATATAACTGGAATAATGTTAAAAGCGGTGTTAAACCCAACTCACTCACTCACTCTTCGATAGGAATGGAATGATAGGAGTTAGGAAAATATGACAGAAAGATGTCAGATAAAAGCGGAGATGGATACGTATGGGAATACAACAGGCACGGTACCCCGGTTATTTTCAGGTCTATAAAACAGAAGCTGACAGGTTATATTGCCAAGAACGGTACACACCTTTATATAAGTCTACTAAGTCTGACTGTTACCTTGGTGTGACGTCACAGATCAATACTGAACAATACTTGCTGGATGCTAATCTTACATTTTCAGACTGCATTAGCATGTTTCCGATGTACATCATGTGCTCTCTATTTAGAATCTGATAGATACATTAATGGTCAATGAAAAAAAGGACTCGACAACAGTATCATATGAATTTGGTGAGGATGAACTTAGCATTTCACGTGTTGCCCGCCATCTTGGATATGGAACTTGGGCTACGTAGTTTGAAACCAAACTCCTTACCAAAAGAACAACTTTATCTTTCCCTTGTTGCCCAAACTCCGTTTCTTTCTGGGTCGGAACATGCAACCCGCTCTCTTCACACTAAGGTATACAACCGTGAAGACCCGGGTTAGAATAGGTCTTCAGAAACCCATGCTTGCCGTGGAAGGCGACTATGCTTGTCGTATGAGGCGACTAACGGGATCGGGTGGTCAGGCTTGCTGACTTGATTGAAGCATGTCATCATATCCCAAAGGCTTATATAGATGCTCATGATGTCAATCATTGGATTGTGTTGTCCAGACTCGATGAGTTACAGACCACCGTCACAAAGCTGGAATATTGCTGATTGCAGCGTTAAACAACAACAAATCGATTCTCCCGCCGTGATATAAAAGAAATGTTGTTTAAAATGTTAACCCCCAACTCGCTTACTCAAAACAGTGAAAAGAAAATTAACTCTTGAGTGTACATTCTTGCTTTTCTCAATAAATATTATCATGAGACAAATTCCTTATACATGTATAATAGTGGATTGGCCAGAAGAAAAGCTATTTTTGCAAGGAGGATACTGGGAGATAAGAACAGAAGACATATGCATATATATTGGATTGGTTCTTGGTCGTGAGTGAGACATAAGGCAATAATGAGTGATCGAAGACCTTCAGGTGGCTTGGCATTCTCTGTGTCGACAGGGTAAGCCATGAATGCTGATGGCGTCTAAATGTCACCCGACCAGCGCCCCACTGTGGCTGCTTGAGAAATAGCGGGTACAGGGGCATTCAACGTTATACTTAAAAGTACAAATAGTATTGCATATATTGACTGACTTCATGCATCATAGAAACAACGTTTGAAAAGCATGAATACGATAATATCGTTCTCAAGCTCATCCCCTGACTTGTGGTGTTGCTTCTGTAAAATCCATGCGTTATCGGGTTGGTCTGTCAGTTGGTCATTGGCCGTTCTTACTTGGGTAAACTTTTTTATCTATTTTTTTTGTTCCCGCACTGAGCAACAATACCGCTATATGACGGCGGTCTATCCAGAGGTGGTGAGGTGAGGTGAAATGGGGTTTGACGTCGCGTCCAAGATTATTGCACTTATATAGCGACGTGCATGTACGCGTGTGTGTGTGTGTGTGTGTGTGTGTGTGGCTGCTTGTACTAGTCCGGAGTGATGCCGATTTATAGTGCTAGCTCACTGAGATAACATGCCGCAGTTTAACATGAATACCCCACTCAGACACAGTATACTGACTTCGAGCCGAGCAGTCCTTGCTTTAGCCCCTTAATGCCGAACGCCAGACAGGGTAACAACAAGTACCATCTTTTAACGTCTTTTAGTATGACGCGGCCGGGAATCGAACCCTGGACCTTCCGCTCTCCGGGCGGACGCTCTACCACTAGACCACGGAGGCGGTCGCGGTCTATCCAGACAATCCAGTGGGTGATATCATGAGAAACGATCTATTCAGTCGGGATTCGATAACAATCCACCAACAGTGACCGAGCCTGACCACCGATCTCACAACCAGCATACGTGTCGGACAAAAGAAAGTATACACCCATGTTTGATGGTGGTAAAAGAATTAAACGAACAAGAAATGGTTGTTTGGTGGTCACACATTTTATACGATATCATAGGCGATATAACATGCATCAATCAATGCCTATCTCACAACAGGTGACGTGCACAAAACGTCTCAAGGATCACGGGGTCGCAATTTCACGTCACACAGTAATGAGCAGAGTGAGGCAGGGATTGTCATGATCAGTTTCCATTCCTTCACAGATACCATTTTCAACCACTACGAGCACCAGTCTACGCCAGTGCTCGCCGTCTCGGCGATGTCGTCAGCTGTATGACGTCAGTGCGAATCCGTTGCCACTCGTCCCTCAATGCGTCTAACAGCTGTTGACATCTTCCCGAGGCAAGGGAGTAAACTGATTATAAAAGTCCAGTTTCTGGGCTCGATCGTAGCGCCACCAGTATCTATAACTAGGTACGCCCCTCTATGTCCCTCCTATTGACCAATCAGATTCCACCTCCCACCTTGTATTTGCTTCAAACAAAATGGCGGGTCCCAGTCAAGATGATCTGATCAATAATGAAGATCTATATTGTTATATAACGGGTTTTACTTCGCGACGTGTACCGTGATTAAAAACATGGAAAGATTTGCAAAATATCTGTTGACGCCGAGTTGGTGGTCGACATGCTTTGCAAATATTGCAATCGACCGAAATCTGTACTGTAGTTTGTCGAACCGGATGTCGATTTCGTAACGCGATTTTGATTGGACTAAGCATAGACTCGTTTGTCCAGCCAAAAATATAACTCCGGCCTTATTCGGGAAGGGTGGGAACTGGACTCTTATAGTCAGTTAACTCCCTTGCCTCGGGAAAATGAGCTTTTGACAGTTTCTGTAGTGGATGAGGACACCTCCAGATGTGACCATCTACATAATTCCACAAGGATGCAAAGGGAGAACGACGACCCTTGCTGTGTGCGACCGTGCTGTAAGAAAGCTCCATGATGCTGTTTGTGAAGGATCGAACCACCATGGGTTGCAGAACGTCCTCCCTGTAGATCTGGAAGTTGAGGTTGCCACGGATGATGACAAGTCCCGTCTGTTGGTTGCCATAAATTCCCCCCCAAACCATCACCAAACGCCAACAATAGGATTCACTTACACCAGGCCAAATTTATGTTGATGGGGACTAACTCGAACCCGGACGCCCCACAGCTACTAGACTGACATCAGTCCTGCATCTCACAACCACGAACTCACAACAAAAGCATCCAACCGTCCATAAATCGCTCGTGCGCCCATTAACTCAATCACACATTTATCAACTCTCTCATCCACCCACACACTTACTCAGTAATCAATCACTCACTCACTCACTCACTCACCCACTCACTCACTCACATTAACTCAACCACACCTGGGGACACGGGTGGCCCAGTCGTCTAAGGCGCCGCGATTCGCTGTGCAGAGTTGCGTCCCTTGGGCACGCCAGAAACCTATGATTGTGGGTTCGAATCCAGGTTCGCCCCAATTATGTTTCTAGGTTTGTCAGCACCATACCCGTGCTCGTGGGTTTCACCGAAGTGGTAAACGTCTTAGAACTGCATCACTTCGGGCTTTCCTCCCACATTAAGCTGACACGCCGTGTTATAACTGGAATACTGTTAATAGCGGCGTTAAACCCAACTCACTCACTCACTCACTCACTAATACATCAACCCACTCATTCATCCGTCCATAACTCCATCATGCGCCCTCTCACTCACTCACTCACTCACTCACTCACTCACTCACTCACTCACTAATACATCAACCCACTCATTCATTCGTCCATAACTCCATCGTGCGCCCATTAACTCACTCACCCACTCACTCACTCACCATCCCCATGTAAAGGCAGACAAGCTGTTGATGACCGCCAATTAGAGGTCACTGTCTTATGGCGCATCTGCTGCAATCACAGAATTAGGATTGCTCCCGACAAGATGACGCTATGATGAATACACATGACACCAGAACAGCAACTGTCGTGAAGTGTCATCTGAAAGGTCATTCGTAACGCAAAGAAGTCACTGGAGCTTTTCCTGCTTCATTTAATTGGCTCCATCGATTCTTTACACTTGTGATTCAAAGTTAATTCCTGTAATAACTGGAATATTATGACTTATTGCTTATCTCCTTTCGCGATATCAAGGGAAGCTCAAAGGTGTGCTAGTTCCACTGATGGTTCGCCCCGCGAACTCAGCGCGTGTAGGTACAGAGGTGCCAAGTCAATGATACGTCAAGTGGAACCATTAACCGGACAATTCAGTGTGGACAGCACTGTCTGTATGGATGGGTTTCACTATTATGGAAGCCTTTTAGGGCCATGGACTTTTTAAGAAAATATTCTTGAAATTCCCAGAAGCTATGTTAAAATTTCAAGACACATATTTCAGTTCAACGTATTTCAACGTATTATCTTGAAATTTCAAGATCATTATCTTGACACTACAACTTAACATGAATAGATAAGATTTTATACAGTTTTTTTCTAATCCTGATATCTTGGAAAGACACATGCACTACTGATTTCGAAGTACATACAATTTTGATATAAGAAACTGCCGAAACAATTGCTTACTGTTAACGTCACTGTCGTGTGTGGGTATTTCAAGCCAGGGTTTGCAGGTCGGCCTTGGACCGTATGTGCTGCCTGTGATAATTCCCATAAGACCGTCTTTCCTCATACATATAGGTGACACACAGTGACGTGTCTGAATTATTGGTCAAAGTGGAGTTTAAAGCACCAACCCACTTCCTTAATACGTCGAGCTAGGGGGTAGTTCCTGTGCTTAACATAGTGTGCCACTACGATTACCTAACACTGAGACATAACCTGCCGGGGACCAGTGAAGATCCGGGGAAGAATAGGTCTTCAGCAACCCATGTTTGACGAAAGAGACGACTAACGGGATCGGATTGTCAGGCTCGCTGACTGCGTGGACCGATGCTCATGATATCAGTTATTGGATTGTCTGGTCCAGATTCTATTATTTACGGACCGCCGTCATATAGCTGCTGGAATATTGCTGAGTGTGGCGACAACAACAAACAAACAAACAAACAAACGTAACCTTACGGGCAAAAGGAAGTATAAACTTGAAAATTGAATTTTACCGAAAAATGCAAACGTTAACAAAACGTTACTGGGCTGAAAACAGTCGCCGAAACACTACAGACGTGCGTCCAAACACAACTATGATACCCGTACGAAATACCTCACCATCGCATAACCATTTCTTTTTTGTGTTTCATTTTTAGCCACCATCAAACATGAATGTATAGTTTTTTCGCCAGGCAGTTAAGTACTCCCCAGATCAGAGCGCTAGACCTATATGACATAACAACTTAAGGTTAAACTAACTTGATGTGTGAAGCATTAAGTATTCATGACCACAATCTTTCTTTACAGGCTTTGAACAAAGAAGCTCGGTATGTCTTCTGCAACCCTATTCAGCTGCGCATGCGCAATGGTACTCCTCGTATCAGTCGTCACGCCATCGCCCACGCTACCGGAAGTAGGACTGAAAGACATGGGATCTGAACACGCATGTCTGTTTATGTGTGAAATGTGTTTCACCGGATTTGTAAGTTTCTTCAGTCTTCCATGCTTTTAATCATGATCACTCATTTCATCTTTGTCAAGTTTGTTTCACTAAGTGCCTAGTTCGAATGACTCCTTTATGGTGAGGTCACCCTATTGTGGCTGCAGTTGATAATGACAATGAATTCACTGGCCATCTTGAACGTGCATTTAAAGTAGCATGCTATAGATCATTATGCAAAATTATAGAGAAATTATAGTATCAACCTTAACATGGTTTAAGACGGGAATATCGCTCGAATCTATCGATTATGGCAAGTAGATGTTGATTTCTCCGTTACGTCCTCACGAACACCTGAAAATCTTGGTTTTTCCGAGATTTTGGACGTAAGGACAGTGAATGAACCAATCAACGATCGTGATGTTAATAACTTTGTAAGTCAAGGCAATAATGACCACACGAAGAGAACGAATATTGTAACAACTACTTGTCCAATGTTTCAATGTAGCTGATGGTTACTGTTGGTGTAAAGTGGGGATCGGGTGTCTGATGGTTACTGTTTGTGTAAAGAGGGATCGGGTAGCTGATGGTTACTGTTGGTGTAAAGAGGGATCGGGTGCCTGATGGTTACTGTTGGTGTAATTGAGTGAGTGAGTGAGTATGGTTTTACGCCGCTTTTAGCAATATTCCAGCAATATCACGGCGGGGGACACCAGAAATGGGCACTGTTGTTGTAAAGAGGGATCGGGTAGCTGATGGTTACTGTTGGTGTAAAGAGGGATCGGGTGTCTGATGGTTACTGTTGGTTTAAAGTGGGTATCGGGTGGCTGATGGTTACTGTTGGTGTTAAGTGGAGATCGGGTGTCTGATGGTTACTGTTGGTGAAAAGTGGGGATCGGGTGGCTGTTGGTGTAAAGTGGGGATCGGGTAGCTGATGGTTACTGTTGGTGTAAAGTGGGGATCTGGTGGCTGATGGTTACTGTTGGTGTAAAGTGGGGATCGTGTGTCTGATGGTTACTGTTGGTGTAAAGTGGGGATCGGGTGTCTCACGGCTACTGTTGGTGTAAAGTGGGAATCGGATGGGTGATGTTACCGTTTGTGTAAAGAGGGGATCGGGTGGCTGAAGGCTACTGTTTGTGTAAATTTGGGATCGGGTGTCTGATGGTTACTGTTGGTGTAAAGCGAGGATCGGGTGGCTGATGTTACTGTTGGTGTAAAGTGGGGATCGGGTGTCTGATGGTTACTGTTGGTGTAAAGCGGGCATCGGGTGGCTGGTGTAACTGTTGGTGTAAAGTGGGGATCGGGTGTCTGATGGTTACTGTTTGTGTAAAGTGGGGATCGGGTGGCTGATGGATACTGTTTGTGTAAAGTGAGGATCGGATGGGTGATGGTTACTGTTGGTGTAAATTGGGGATCGGCTGGCTAATGGTTATTGTTGGTGTAAACCTGGATCGGGTGGCTGATGGTTACTGTTGGTGTAAAGTGGGGATCTGGTGGCTGATGGTTACTGTTGGTGTAAAGTGGGGATCGGGTGGCTGATGGTTACTGTTGGTGTAAAGTGGGGATCAGGTGGCTGATGGTTACTGTTGGTGTAAAGTGGGGATCTGGTGTCTGAATGTTACTGTCGGTGTCAAGCGTGGATCGGGTGGCTGATGGCTACTGTTGGTGTAAATTGGGGATCGGGTGACTGAAGCTTACTGGTGGTGTAAAGCGGTGATCGGGTGACTGAAGCTTACTGGTGGTGTAAAGCGGGGATTGGGTGGCTGATTGTTACTGGTGGTGTAAAGCGGTGATCGGGTTGCTGTAGCTTACTGGTGGTGTAAAGCGGTGATCGGGTGGCTGGTGGTTACTGGTGATGTAAAGCGGTGATCGGGTTGCTGTAGCTTACTGGTGGTGTAAAGCGGGGATTGGGTGGCTGATTGTTACTGGTGATGTAAAGCGGTGATCGGGTGGCTGTAGCTTACTGGTGGTGTAAAGCGGGGATTGGGTGGCTGGTGGTTACTGGTGATGTAAAGCGGTGATCGGGTGGCTGGTGGTTACTGGTGATGTAAAGCGGTGATCGGGTTGCTGTAGCTTACTGGTGGTGTAAAGCGGGGATTGGGTGGCTTATTGTTACTGGTGATGTAAAGCGGTGATCGGGTGGCTGGTGGTTACTGTTGGTGTAAAGAGGGATCGGATGGGTGATGGTTACTGTTGGTGTAAAGTGAGGATTGGGTGGCTGATGGTGGTTGTTGGTGTAAAGAGGGATCGGATGGGTGATGGTTACTGTTGGTGTAAAGAGGGATCGGATGGGTGATGGTTACTGTTGGTGTAAAGTGAGGATTGGGTGGCTGATGGTGGTTGTTGGTGTAAAGTGGGGATCTGGTGTCTGAATGTTACTGTCGGTGTCAAGCGTGGATCGGGTGGCTGATGGCTACTGTTGGTGTAAATTGGGGATCGGGTGACTGAAGCTTACTGGTGGTGTAAAGCGGTGATCGGGTTGCTGTAGCTTACTGGTGGTGTAAAGCGGTGATCGGGTGGCTGGTGGTTACTGGTGATGTAAAGCGGTGATCGGGTGGCTGGTGGTTACTGGTGATGTAAAGCGGTGATCGGGTGGCTGATTGTTACTGGTGATGTAAAGCGGGGATTGGGTGGCTGATTGTTACTGGTGATGTAAAGCGGTGATCGGGTGGCTGGTGGTTACTGGTGATGTAAAGCGGTGATCGGGTGGCTGGTGGTTACTGGTGATGTAAAGCGGTGATCGGGTGGCTGGTGGTTACTGGTGATGTAAAGCGGGGATTGGGTGGCTGATTGTTACTGGTGATGTAAAGCGGTGATCGGGTGGCTGGTGGTTACTGGTGATGTAAAGCGGTGATCGGGTGGCTGGTGGTTACTGTTGGTGTAAAGCGGGGATCGGGTGGCTGATGGTTACTGTTGGTGTAAAGTGGGGATCGGGTGGCTAATGGTAACTGTTGGTGTAAAGTTGGGATCAGGTGGTTGGTGGTACCAGTTGGTGTAAAGTGGGGATCGGGTGGTTAATGGTTACTGGTGGGGTAAAGCGGTGATCGGGTGGTTAATGGTTACTGTTGGTGTAAAGCGGGGATCGTATGGGTGATAGTTACTGTTGGTGTAAAGTGGGGATCGGGTGGCTGACGGTTAGTGTTTGTGTAAAGTGGGGATTGGATCATGGCTGATGGTTACTGTTGGTGTAAAGCGGGGATCGTATGGGTGATAGTTACTGTTGGTGTAAAGTGGAGATCGGGTGGCTGACGGTTACTGTTGGTATAAAGTGGGGATCGGGTGGCTGATGAGCAGTTGCAGATCAAGTTATGAATTCATCTGTAATCCAGAAGTGAAGGCAATGTATAAGATTATTTCACATTATATTTCAGCCTAAAGCGATGTTGTACTGCGCTAACGAGGTGTGCGCTGCTGGGACCTGCAACGCCCCCGGGATGGTGTGGGTGGGCCGCACCTGCAAGAACCCAGCACTCCTTGACAAATTCTTGTCCAAGTAGAATCCAGGTTCAACAAACTGACTTTTGATTTCGTCATCACCTTCACATCCAGACAGTGCACTAGACACTAGACGTAGACCTGTTAAAGTGGCCCTTTTATAACATAATGGCATTTAAAGCATTTCAACAAGAAACCCATCCGCGGGGATGCATGTTACAGCATGTGTTCCAGTTAACACCCTAGATCTACTCATCAAGAATCGAACCGGATGGAGTCTGGATACTTCCTGCAACGGGGTTGGACAAAACGTTATCGTTTAAGTATTTTTCTGTTAAGGTCTTACGTTGAAATTGTTATGGGTCAGTGACACAATGGTGATGGATGTTTTGGAGTTCAATAAACCAACAAAACGGTTTTCATAATGATTGCTCAATAATTTCAGATGAAAAGGAAAGAATGTATTCGCAGGTACGCCTCTGTAATGCCTTTTTTAAATAGGTTCGCAATTGTAGATTATAATGAGGTAAAAAGCCATTGTTTGAGGACAAATGAATAAAATGTTAAGGACTAGGATCCATGTCAATGTAGCCATACAATAAATTTGTTAAATACTGTATGTATTGTTGTATCTTTCCAATATGATACAGGATACCATATGTGAGTTGATCGGCATGGAAGCGTATTAGTACCACATTCTGAAAATATTGTTATCTACGTACGTGGTACTTTTATCTCCGTAGATCATACCACTCACATCTACGTAGAAGATGCTTTCATCTTCGTAGATGATACTACTCACATTTACGTAGAAGATGCTTGCATCTACGTATATGATACTACTCACATCTAGGTAGAAGATGCTTTCATCTTCGTAGATGATACTACTCTAATTTACGTAGAAGATGCTTTGATCTACGTATATGATACTACTCACATTAACGTAGAAGATCCTTTCAACTACGTATATGCTATCATAATCGTGAGTATCGTTACTCAGCCGGTGATATTGTTCGATTGTAGATGATACTTTCTTTTACGTAGATCATAGAATCATAGACGTAGATATAAGTATCATCTACGTAGATGAAAGTGTGGTCTACGTAGATACTATTTGGTTTTAGAACCAGGCACGAATTTGCCTTTATTGATGGAATTATACTAGCAATATACTAGGTATGGCGTCAGCATCGGATGAGTTGGTGTTGTTTGACGCCGCTTTAAAGAGTAGGGCAGTACTAACTGCGGTTATCGTATCGCTGCGCTGTTCCGATTTTGATACTGACCTGTCGCTGGATTTTCCTTAGTCTTTTTCATAACAGATCCCCCGTCCAAATCTGCACCGCCCTTTACATGCTTTGTGGCCGTCGGGATCTAACGACAGATGCAACATGATTCACTTCCAACGAAACTTGCCTTCAGATACGAGTACTTATATTTTGGATCGTGCAATAGAATATTTACTTATCGAGTGGGAAAAAAACCCGGACCGGCAAAGTATTTCTATCCGCCTTTGCACACCACGATGGCTGCCAAAATTCTGTACCCGCTCGATGATTCCAGTTTGATAGGTTGGTTGGTTGGTTGTTTAACGCTGCACTCAGCAATATTCTAGCTATATGACGGCGGTCTGTAAATAATCGAGTCTGGACCAGACAATCCAGTGATCAATATCATGAGCATTGATCCACGCAATTGGGATCGATGACATGCATCAACCAAGTCAGGGAGCCTGACCACCCGATCCCGTTAGTCGCCTTTTACGACAAGCATAGTCGCCTTTTAAGGCAAGCATGGGTTGCTGAAGACCTATTCTACCCCGGCTCTTCACGGGTTCAACTTGATAGGTACATAGGTGCATGATCGAAATGTAAGTACACACATTCGGAGGTAAGTGTTTTAGGAAGCGAATCGTGTTGAAGTCTTAATTGGATTATGATTCATGTACATTAAAACAAAGATGTTAGTGCGGTAAGTTCTGAATCGGGAATCTATTAGGAATATAATGAATAACCCGTAACTCTAGGTAGCGGCAAGTCCAGATCAAAATCGATTAGATAGAAGCACAGAGATATCGTTACCGCAACTATTTCAGTTCATATCACGGCTAGATGGCTTGGTGTGGGAGGAGAGCCTAAAGGGCGTGTCATCGTATCCCAACGGCGAGGCTAGGGGCGTTGTTCATAATATCAATCACCGGATTTTAGGTCCAGACACGATGATATAGAAGCAGCCATTACGTAGCTGAAATATTGCTGATAGGACTTTAAAACAAACTGAACGAACTTTTTACATGCTTTCATCAAGATTACAAAGACATGCTATGACGTGATGTTTTCCGATAGGAGTGAGTGAGTGGTATGGTTTTACGCCGCTTTTAGCAATATTCCAGCAATATGACGGCGGGGGACACTAGAAATGGGCTTCACACATTGTACCCATGTTGGGAATCGAACCCGGGTCTTCGGCGTGACGAGCGAACGCTTTAACCACTAGGCTACCCGACCGACCCGTTTTCCGATAGGAATGGAATGATATGAGTTACGAAAGTAAGACATATTGGAAAGCAGCGGAGATGGATACGTATGGGGGGTCAACAAGTATGGTACCCCGGTTATTTTTAGGTCTATTAAACAGAAGCCGAAAGGTTATATTACCAAGGATGGTGAACGCCTTTTTCTCAATCATCAAAATCAGATTGTTACCTTGGTGTGACGTCACAGATCAATACTGAACATTACTTGTTGGATGCTAATCTTACATCATTTTCAGACTGCATTAGTATGTTTCCGATATACGTCACGTGCTCTGTATATAGAATCATCTAGTAATGGTAAATGAAAAATAGAATTCGCAAACATTATTATATGGATTTGAGAAGAATGAATTTCACGGTTTTTTGTGTCGCCCGCTATCTTGGGGATATCAAAGAAAATGTATTTCAGAACTTAGACTTTCTTCTCATGTGCTAGTAATTGAAACTGCAAGGTGCCAAGCTTTCTAACTTTGTGATAGGAAATGTCCTTATTGACCTTTAGATTTGGAGGATGAATTTCATTTAAGGATAAAATGTCCGTTGTATGATGACCTCAGGAAAAAGTACACCAAGCTATATTACTTGAAAAAATACAACAGCATTTAAACTTGTAGAACTTTTCAATTTAAAACATGTAAACCAAATGTCACTTTTTGGTAACATTTTATTTAAAACATGTAAATTGAGAAATATTAAATGTTGATAATTATGTATTCTCATCGTCAAGTTTACGGCATCAATTGGTCTTATTGTTAATACGATTGTTTGAAAAAACATCAGCATTTAAACTTGTAAAACCTTTCAGTTTAAAAACATGTCAACCCAATGTCACTTTTTGGTAACATTTTATTTAAAGCATGTAAATTGAGAAATATTAAATGTTGATAATTATGTATTCTCCACGTCCTGTATACTGCATCAATGGGTCTTATTGTTAATACGATTGTTTGGTTTACACTGATAAGCTGTAGAGCTTAAAGCTAATTAAGAATTGAATTGACTACAACAGACAAACAATTCTGGGTCTCTCGCGAAACATTGCTGATACCTAATGTTAAAGTGATGTATATCGCCTCCTTCGTCAGGGTCGGCCCGGAGAGCGGAAGTTCGGTGGTTCGATCCCCAGCCGCGTCATACCAAAAGACATGGTACTTGTTGTTGCCCGGCCCGCCTAGCGCTCGACATATGGGGGATGACAAAAGGGAATGGTCGCCTGGGAGACCAAATGCTGTGTCTGAGTTCGGTATCCATGTTTAACTGCGGCATGGTATCTCTGTGGGGAGCGCACTTAACACCGGTATTTGTCCGGTTTCTTACAAGCAGCCACACGCGCACACACGCGCACACACACGCACACACGCGCACACACACGCACGCGCGCACAAATACATGCACATCGCCATATAAATGCAATAATATTGAACGTGACGTGTAACCCAATTGGCTCAACGTACACAATTCCAGAACCACAGATTATTTATCACAGAAGGCATCGACTGTCAAGTGCTATTACACCCTGTGACACACCAAACTCTAATGCCAATATCCATAGTCTTGCAGCGAGCGGTTTTACATGGCATGCTAGTGATATGCACGTCTGTATGCCGTTAGAATACATGATGTGTTCGTTTGTTTGTTTGTTTGTTGTTTAACGCCGCACTCAGCAACATTACAGCTATATGACGGCGGTCTGTAAATAATCGAGTCTGGACCAGACAATCTAGTGTTTTCATCATGAGCATTGATAAACGTAATTGGTATACGATGACAAGCATCAACCAAGTCAGCGAGCCTGACCACCCGATTCCGTTAGTCGCCTCTTACGACAAGCATAGTCGCCTTTTACGGCAAGCATGGGTTGCTGAAGATCTATTCTACCCCGGATCTTCACGGGTCTTAGAATACATGAACAATATACAGCGAAACCCCTTTATAACAACCACCCTGTAATTCAGCACAATGTCAAAGGGGACCGATAGCTGTATGGCAATGTTAAATGAATATATGTTGGAATCGTGCAATCGCGTGTCCAGAACACAACACTTTGGAAATCAACTGTTGGTGACAGACATGTAGTGCTGATGTAAAGTAACAAATATGACAGAAATATCCTAGGAGTGTTTCATTTTGAATGACAGAAAAACTTTGGCATCACAACGCATTAATATCCCCTGCTTTCATCTGACAATGTAGACACATTCATAGTATATTAAAGGGGATAACATTTGTTGAGGTCGCCCTCCCACGCGACATAACAACCGGTCCCTTTCATCTCGCCCCGACACAGAGCAGTACAGAAATCCTTTAATGGATTGTCAGTGATATATTGTCACTTGTGTCAATGTCGGCCGACGACACCGCTTTAAGTCTCTAAATTGGCTACGAACTTCTGAATTTATTCAGACACGATGTCATGCCGATTTTATGGATTTAACGAGCGGTGGGTAGTAGTAGAAGAAGAAGAATGAAGAAGAAGGAGGAGGAGAAGAAGATGGAGAAGAAGGAGGAGATGAAGAAGGAGAAGAAGATGAAGAAGGAGAAGATGGAGAGGAAGGGGGAGATGAAGAAGGAGAAGAAGATTGAGAAGAAGAAGGAGATGAAGAAGGAGAAGAACATGGAGAAGGAGGAGATGAAGAAGGAGAAGAAGATTGAGAAGAAGAAGGAGATCAAGAAGGAGAAGAACATGGAGAAGAAGGAGATGAAGAAGGAGAAGAAGATTGAGAAGAAGAAGGAGATCAAGAAGGAGAAGAACATGGAGAAGAAGGAGGAGATGAAGAAGGAGAAGAAGAAGATTGAGGAGATGAAGAAGGAGAAGAACATGGAGAAGGAGGAGATGAAGAAGATTGAGAAGAAGAAGGAGATCAAGAAGGAGAAGAAGGAGGAGATGAAGAAGGAGAAGAAGATTGAGAAGAAGGAGATGAAGAAGGAGAAGAACATGGAGAAGAAGGAGGAGATGAAGAAGGAGAAAAAGAATGAGAAGGAGGAGGAGATGAAGAAGGAGAGGAACATGGAGAAGAAGGAGGAGATGAAGAAGGAGAAGAAGGAGATGAAGAAGGAGAAGAACATGGAGAAGAAGGAGGAGATGAAGAAGGAGAAAAAGAATGAGAAGGAGGAGGAGATGAAGAAGGAGAAGAAGGAGATGATGAAGAAGAAGTTTATTCTCATGAATCATGACATGGAGATGTTAACAAGCAAAACATATATACACAGGAATGAGATAATTGTTAGTGGAGCATACGCAGTCCACATTTAACACACTGAGATAGTCGTAAGATAGTGGGTTTACAAGAGCATGCTTTGAGTGAAATAAAACTTTCATTATTTGAAAATTTACAACACGACGGAAGATATATATTTCTTAAATGATCCAATGCACGGCATTCTATGTCATATGAAATGGAATCCATCATCAACATCACTATCTTCCTTAACGATGTTATACCATCTACCAGTTTTAGTTGGTTCGGAAGTTTTATTTTTACTTAGCCAAATTCATAAATTGATAGGTAAATACAGTAAATAATCTTCAATTGAGGGGACATCTTTATACAAATTAATAAATTTTGATTCTCCTCCAACTTTGTAAAAAGTGATCGATAAAACCAGTTTTGACGTAAGCCTTTATCCATTGCACACTGGGAAAGTTCTGAGCCAGCCAAATGGGATTTGGTTTTGTATTTGTAAATAAACAAAACCCTTTCCATACTCATAATAAATCTCCGCCAAAAGCATAGTCGATTTACGATAAAGACTAAATCCAATAATAAGCATGTGTTTAGGAATCACCATCAAATTGTGATGATACCAGGTGTTCGCGAAAAGGTGAGCTTATCTTGCCCAATCGGTGGCACCCGTCACGAACACATGCAAAGGCAAGTCAATAGTGCACCTGAAAAAAAACACGGGAACATCTGGTTCAAGTCAAAATAGGAAAATGCATCATCATCATTTTTGTCATTTTTGTCAAATTTGAAAATGTCGAAGTGAGGCCACATATACCATAAAACTATTTGGAAGCTTTACCGAGGCCTTGACCTTTGCAACCTTGGTCAAACACCCTCCGAGCAAGAGTCTCATGACGCTCTTTGAAATCTTCGTAGAAAGAGCAAGCACAATAGTACCTCAAAAGTTGTGAAATGCAAACACCAAAGGCTGGAACTGCAGTAATATTGCTCGACATAAAAGGAAAGTTGACAAATGGAAAGTTGAAGTCATCCCCCTTGTCATTCAGTCGTGTGGAGAGTGTTTTGTCACTCTGAATCTTTATGCACAGATCTAAATATGAAACAGATGAGGCGGTCTCGCTGGTCTCCTTTTTTTAGTTCATGTGGATAAATCTGTGGAAGGAGAATTGGCTATTTGATCGTTTTTTAACCAGATCATCGATATACCTGAACCTTAAGTCAAACTTCTTGGCAAAATTACTTTGTTTTGACTTTGCCAATCCGAACAGAAATTCGACTCATATGCATAAAAACAACACCAAGAAGGGGAGCACAATTGGTGCCCAAGGGGATGCCAAATTCTACCCTAAATGCCTTTTCCCCAAAATTTAGAAAGATGTTTTCAACGAGGAATTCCAACGTTTCACATTTTTTCTCAGTAAACTTCAAATGACATTTGCTATCATTTTGACAAAAAGTCCCGAACCTCTGAAGATAGATATAACTGTTTCTACTGTATCGTTGGATTTCATGGAGAAGTGGGAACTTAAATTCTGAGTGGGAAATTTGGAGTTTCAGCATCAGTTAGTACCTTTGCCTGATAATTTGGTTCTGGTAGAACTATTTTACATCAATCTCATTAAAATCAGATCTTAGTTCTCGCTATCGCTCAACAAAGATCTGAGGACATCCCATTAAGGGTCACGTCAGAACGACCTTTCATCCAACCAGTCAGAGCGTCGCTTACCAGATCATGAAAGTGACAGTCGGAATGTGTTTTCTAATCATGCAACCACGAAATATTTAACACGGGGTATTCCGAACGACAGTTACGGGTTTTATGATTATATCCATACAATCTAGGCCATCTATAAAAAATTCCAGAATGTTCTTATCAGTTTTATATTTTTTTAATCGAGAATACGTCAAAATATGTTTCGAGGCGTAGTCGCCAGTTTGAATCTAGTGTCGTAAAGCTCGAGAAAGCTGCCGTTTGATTGGCTAATTTCATTGGTCGGTCAAAATTCGCGAAAGGTCGTTCTGACGTGACCCGTAATGGGATGTCCTCAGATCTTTGTTTAGCGGTAAAATTAATAAGATTGATTTTACATCAGTATGAAACCATTCTTAACCTAACAATAGTATACGCCACCTATACATGTGGTGAAAGCTCTCGGTTGTCCCGTCGCGATCCCTGTGTTCTATATTCAATATGGGTGTACTAACTTAGGCCTAGTCTTGGTGACCACCGCCGTTGTACTGCTGGAATAAAGCTTTCACCTCATGGTGTCTCTCCGTAGGCTTATTTGAAATAAAATTGTCAATGTTTTCGAAGTCAAAAGACAATTGACGAAAGTGGTCGTGATTTATTCATAAGCAGTCTGCTTCAAGGATTGTGTTGACAATGAGAATTATTATATATCCTGATGAAAATCTGGTTTGTAAAGGTTTCACTGTATTCGTTAATTAACGATCAAAACAACGTAATTAACATAGGACATGTTCAAAGGACGAAAAATAAACAATGGCTAAATAATCCAAGTATTCCTCACAACGGAGGATATCCTTATTAATGTTTAATAAACAACAAGATGTCAAAGCTGAGATGATGGGTGATGGTGGTTATAATGTTGACCTTGTGACCTCAGTGTTTGACATCTTAATTCACAGTTTAAAAGGGGCGTGTATACTTTATTTTCCCCGGCAGTTTGTATAGTCCCGTGGTACCAAGAGGGTCATGGCAGTTTCAGTTTGGTCACTTATTCGCTGTTACAAAAACCCTTTGGGTTAAGTGTACCTGATCGTTCGTATCTAGTTTGGTTGCTGTGTGTAGATAGCAACTCATATTACAGCACAAGACTCGGCTATGCTGGAGACAGATGTACAGCATTGATAAAATCACACGCTGAAAAAGAAGCATATGAAACAATCTCCATCATAAATATGTACATACAGTGGTGTTACAACTAGATGTTGTGAGTGGGTGGGAGTGAAGATATCGCTCATTAAGCTATAGCTTTAGCGGGGCGGTCGGGTAGCCTAGTGGTTAAAGCGTTCGCTCGTCACGCCGAAGACCAGGGTTCGATTCTCGACATTGGTACAATGTGTGAAGCCCATTTCTGGTGACCCCCGCCGTGATATTGCTGAAATATTGCTAAAAGCGGCGTAAAACCTTACTCACTCACTCACTCACTATAGCTTTAGCGGATCAAAGGGGCGGACTCATGAATGTTATCAACTCACAAATATACGTGTTACCATGTCAGTGACTGCGTATCTAAAGTATGTTTGAAATATCAGATTAAAGAAGATGTAACGTCTGCTAATTCACGTGAAAATATATTCTGCTGTAGTTAGTACCAATTGTACTTTAGGCCATGTAGCCCATGATACTGAATAAACGTGTTTGTCAGTAATAGTACCAGTAGCAGGAGCTGCAGCTACAGAATAGTGTCAATAGCAGCAGCCCAAATAGTAGTGAGTGAGTATGGTTTTACGCCGCTTTTAGCAATATTCCAGCAATGTCACGGCGGGGGACACCAGAAATGGGCTTCACACATTGTACCCATGTCGGGAATCGAACCCGGGTCTTCGGCGTGACGAGCGAACGCTTTAACCACTAGGCTACCCGACCGCCCCTCCCAAATAGTAGAAACATAAACAGTAGTAGTGGTAGTAGTAGTAGTAATAGTAGTAGTAGTAGTAGTAGTAGTAGTAGTAAGCACCAGCATTAGTAGTAGTAGTAATAATAATAATAGTAGTAGTAGCAGCAACATTATTTTTAGCAGCAGTAGTAGTAGTAGTAGTCGTAGTAGTAGTAGTAGTAGTAGTGGTGGTGGTGGTGGTGGTAGTAGTATCTGCAGTAGGAGCAGTAGTTGTATTAGCATCAGCAACAGTAGTAGTTGTATCAACAGTAGTAGTAGTAGTAGTAGTAGTAGTAGTAGTAGTAGCAGCAGTAACAATAGTATTAGCAGCATCAACGGTAGTTCTAGCAGCAGCGATAGTAGAAGTAGTAGTAGCAGCAGCAGCAATAATAGTAGTAACAGCATCAATGGTAGCTGTAGCAGCAGTAGTAGTAGTAGTAGTAGTAGTAGTAGTAGTAGTAGTAGTAGTAGCAGAAGTAATAGTAGTAGCAGCAACATCAACAGTAGTTGTAGCAGCAGCAGTAATACTAGTAGCAGCAGCCGCAACGTTATTAGTAGCAGCAGCAGTACTAGTTGCAGTAGCTGACTGCATAAGTAGAAGCAGTAGCAGCTGCAGCAACAGAAATAGTTGTCGTAGTAGCTGTAGCCGCAGCACAAGTGGTAGCAGTCCAGATAATTTCCAATGTTTGCCTTCACGTGTGTGGATGCGGCTTGATAGCTCCCCTAATTATAGCTTGTTACGGTGTTCGCACAGAATAAATGTAGGTTAAAACAATTATAGACGAAGCTGTTGGTAATGCTTTAGACCTATGACTTATTATAGGTCACAGATATATGTTAACTCACAATGTGTACATTTGATGTATATTTAGATATACCATTAGCGTCGGATGATCACGGCTAAAAGTGCGCTTAGGATTCCAGTTACATGATGTTTTGAGAGTCAAGTCACGTCCGGATTTAAGTTCTGAGATATCGGAATTGGTAATAGCTTTTTAAAAGTTATTATCGTCTAATAAAACGGGGTCAGTGGCCTAAGGTACCATTCATCTGTCAGCGCCATTAGTAACCATTTATCATGGGATTCGTCATCCTCATCACTTCGGGTTCTCCATCAGAATTAAGTTAACTGGTTTATGAACTGAATATCTTTCAAAGTCCTGAAACCCAATTCACCCATGATAGGAATCGCATGTACATATAAACGTAAACGCCAGAGAACAGCCAGTCCCGATTATCTGCCGAAACATATTCCATTCATCTTCCCGAGGCAAGGGAGTTAACTGACTATAAAAGTCCAGTGGAAACTGGACTTTTATAGTCAGTTAACTCTCTTGCCTCGGGAAGATGATTCCATTGGGCGGAAAGGGCAAGTTGTGGTGAAAATCATGGTTCACTGAACGTCAGTGATCAAACCAGGTGTTCGCGAAAAGGGAACCGTCCTGCTCTACCGGCAGAACCCACCACTCACATTCTTTGCATATAAAGTAAGTATTAGTTGAGTGTTGGTTCGTCACCCCGAAGACCCGGGTTCGTTTCCCCATATGGGTACAATATGCGAAGCCTACACATGCTATGATATGAAGAGACTATTGCTAAAATATAACTCAGTCATACAACTCACACTACAGCTCTACTCACTCTCTCTAGCCAATACTACTCAAACGAAGAGATGTCAAGACAGATTAACAAAAGTAGTAGGAAAAAATCGGTTTCTTTAACTTCTTTTGAGTAGTATATATTAACCGTTTGGGTTTTACATTGCCCAACTTTCTCATTCAAAGTACAGCTGTATCCACAGCTGCCTTGGTCGTGCAGTATCATTACACTTGATTGACACATATATATCACGTGATTAGTTGTCTATATCAATCCTTCATCTCGGGCAAAGCAAGCAGGTTGGTATTTTTTATTGTTTGACATGTAACATTTAATGTAAAGTTGACTATGCGCCGAGTTCAACTGCTATCTTTAATTTGTTTGTGAACTTTCTATATTAATTTCAGCGATGTAAACTGCCGGACAAAAGAAAGTATACACCCATGTTTGATGGTGGCGTAAAATGAAACAAACAAGAAATGGTTTTTCGCTGGTGATGTATTTAATACGAGTAGCGCTGTTGTGTTTAGGACCTTAGGTTTGCAGTGTTTCGGCGACTGTTTAAAGCCTAGTAACGTTTTGATAACGTTTGCAATGTTTTTTTATCAAATCCAATTTTCTAGCGTATACTTTTTGTGGGCCCGGCAGTTTATATTATTCATATATTTATTCTGATAAGCTTAAGGGTGCAAGTTCCCACTTGTAGTGCTTGTGGTCATACCCTTGAAAGGACCCTCATGTTTGTTTGTTTGTTTTTTAACGCCGCACTCAGCAATATTCCACCTATGTGACGGTCTCTAAATAATCGAGTCTGGACCAGACAATCCAGTGATTAACATCATGAGCATCGATCCACGCAATTGGGATCGATGACATGCATCAACCAAATCAGCGAGCCTGACGCCCCAATCCCGTTAGTCGCCTCTTACGACAAGCATAGTCGCCTTTTATGGCAATCATGGGTTGCTGAAGACCTATTCTACCCCGTCTTTGAGTGTGTTCCAAATGTAATGCCAAAAGTTCGACAATTCGAGTGGGGAACATAAGAAATGTACCTTATACATTAGCGGGTACACTGAAAATAATACAATGGGTCTCAGCCAATCAGAACCCGACATTCACGTGGTAGGTAAGATACTGATTATACATGTACATATGCACTCATACGTACCACGGTCTCGCCTTTCAAAATAACATTGGTTGCTTGTTTTCAAATATTGATTTTTTTTTACATCCACTAAAAGTAAGTTAGCATACTGATACGTTCTGCTTTGTCGGATGTGGTTTTGCGGTATGACAATTTCAGTTAGCGTTCCATGCCAACAGCTAAAAACGTTAATCGTTTTGTTTGGCGCAGCGAAGCCATAATTCGGTTGAATACATCAGCAATGATCAATAACAATTTCAGGATATAAATATAACCTCTCCTAAGCTCTAAATAACTCGACCGGAAAGTTGTGTGTCCAAAACTGAATTAGAGTCAGCATGTGATACAGCGATTTCAACGGAAGGAAAATGAACTGATTTAATTCAAATAATAAAACTCTGAGATAAATTAGGATATGTTTCGTGGAAATAAAGCACAATTCTATATGTGGGAGAAGTGATTTAATTTAATCGATTAATGAAAATAAACGAGGCGTCTTTTGAGGAAATTTCATTCATTTGAAGCGACATTGTGTACTGAGAGAACGAAATTGTGTTTCTATAGAATCAATATATGTTGTTGAATCATGTGGGATTAATATGGCTATAAAGCACGATTCGTGGCCATATTTGTAAACCTTCACGACCTTAAAATAAATTTTCACTTTATACTCGCTATTGTCCGTAAACTGCATGTTAAGAATATCCAGGATAGAAACGATTCATCAGTCGCCCGTCAGAAGAAAAACTAAATGGGAGCAAGTTTCCAATCCCTGCCTCTCTGAAACTGGGCGTGGGCATACAGATGGGCCGGGGCTCGTTATAAGTTCTAACGCTAGGCCGCTTAATGTTTTCCTAAAAGATATTATGGCTCAGGTATTTTTTTAAGTTTTTCATTTCGATTTCAGATTGTGAGTAGTGTTTTACGCCGTATTTCTGTTACGCGTGTCAGCTTCTTGCATTCCATATTTTGTATGTTTCATATCCATTTGCTTGGGAAGGAAGTCGGTCGGAGAATACAAAGAGAGAAAATAAATAAATACATTTTGTTGAGAATGTAATGGTTATAATTATATTAGTATCAAGACAAATGCCCAAAATAGTAAATGAAAACACCATATGCGACTGTTGCTAGGATGGTGTCGACATGTTAAAAGGCGAAAAACCGGAGGGATTACAAGACGGAAAAATATATAGATGGACCTAAGGACCGGGCTTATATTACAGGGGTGGGTGGGTCGGAGGTTTTTGATGCACTCATGTACTGAAAATATTGGCCTTCCCTTAATGCTGTCATATTTTTTGGATGACCCAAGGCCTTCCCATGTCCTTCTACAGTTTTTTCATGACCTTCCCGGAAAAGACAAAATGCAAAGCTCATTATATTAAAGAATTCCTTTTTTTCATGACTCTTACAAAATATGTGGATTAATTTTTATGAGCCTCCCCTGTCGTTTGTTTGATGAATCACCCCCCCCCCCCCCCCCCGGAATATTGCTAAAAGCGGCGTAAACACATACTCACTCACCAATCTAACAGTTACTCCGTGGGGATTTCGTGAAAGAACGCTTAAACCACTCAACCCACCGCCCCGTTAGATTGATGAACATTATACAAATTTGAGGTAACACACATATTTAAAGTGAAAAAATGGTCTTACGTCTAAATCTTTAGACAAAAAATATTTTAACAATTCCGAGCCCAGGTCGAAAATTAACCGCCAAACTATCATTATATTGGACCGGGTACTTCATTTGACGTGGAACACCAACACGCCAACACACAACTGTCACCGAGCGGTGGATTGAGGATACGATCCTCCACGAGGTCAGGCTGGTACAGTCCCCCTTTCCCCCTCTATTCATGCAAAGGCTGTAGCCACCATGTCTTTCGTGTGTCTCTCCCACCACATTGAATCTATGGTCGGGCAATGTCTATTTCAGGATCTGCTCTCTAACGAACATGTTCGGGACGCCATACCAGCGGCAAGATTTTAGAAAATTGAGGCAGGTTGTTCTGGTTCAATGGAACTGAATTCCTCAATACGTGAGCGATTAAATGTTTAGGCACGTTTCGTTCGCCACAGCACCTAACGGGAGTATCCTAACTATGGAAGAATATGTGCTTGATTACAGGTCTGGTGTCTTGTAACGATTACAAACTAGTAAGTCCGCAACGCTTGCAGTCATGTCTGGCTAGAGTCTGACATGCTAGAGAGTCTGACATGCTAGAGAGTCTGACATGCTAGAGAGTCTGACATGCTAGAGAGTCTGACATGCTAGAGAGTCTTACATGCTGGAGGGTCGTACATGCTACAGAGTCTTACATGCTAGAGAGTCTTACATGCTAGAGAGTCTTACATGCTAGAGAGTCTTACATGCTAGAGAGTCTGACATGCTGGAGGGTCGTACATGCTACAGAGTCTTACATGCTAGAGAGTCTGACATGCTAGAGAGTCTGACATGCTAGAGAGTCAGTCTTACATGCTAGAGAGTCTGACATGCTAGAGAGTCTTACATGCTACAGAGTCTGTCTTACATGCTAGAGAGTCTGTCTTACATGCTAGAGAGTCTTACATGCTACAGAGTCAGTCTTACATGCTAGAGAGTCTGACATGCTAGAGAGTCTGACATGCTAGAGAGTCTGACATGCTAGAGAGTCTGACATGCTAGAGAGTCTGACATGCTAGAGAGTCTTACATGCTAGAGAGTCTGACATGCTGGAGGGTCGTACATGCTACAGAGTCTTACATGCTAGAGAGACTGACATGCTGGAGGGTCGTACATGCTAGAGAGTCTTACATGCTAGAGAGACTGACATGCTGGAGGGTCGTACATGCTAGAGTGTCTGACATGCTAGAGAGACTGACATGCTGGAGAGTCGTACATGCTAGAGAGACTGACATGCTAGAGAGTCTGACATGCTAGAGAGACTGACATGCTAGAGAGACTGACATGCTAGAGAGACTGACATGCTAGAGAGTCTGACATGCTAGAGAGTCTGACATGCTAGAGAGTCTGACATGCTAGAGAGTCTTACATGCTAGAGAGTCTGACATGCTGGAGGGTCGTACATGCTACAGAGTCTTACATGCTAGAGAGACTGACATGCTGGAGGGTCGTACATGCTAGAGAGTCTTACATGCTAGAGAGACTGACATGCTGGAGGGTCGTACATGCTAGAGTGTCTGACATGCTAGAGAGACTGACATGCTGGAGAGTCGTACATGCTAGAGAGACTGACATGCTACAGAGTCTTACATGCTAGAGAGTCTTACATGCTAGAGAGTCTGACATGCTAGAGAGACTGACATGCTGGAGAGTCGTACATGCTAGAGAGACTGACATGCTACAGAGTCTGACATGCTAGAGAGTCTTACATGCTAGAGAGTCTTACATGCTAGAGAGACTGACATGCTACAGAGTCTTACATGCTAGAGAGTCTTACATGCTAGAGAGTCTTACATGCTAGAGAGTCTTACATGCTAGAGAGACTGACATGCTAGAGAGACTGACATGCTACAGAGTCAGTCTCACATGCTAGAGTGTCTGACATGCTAGAGAGTCTTACATGCTAGAGAGACTGACATGCTAGAGAGACTGACATGCTACAGAGTCAGTCTCACATGCTAGAGTGTCTGACATGCTAGAGAGTCTTACATGCTAGAGAGACTGACATGCTAGAGAGACCGACATGCTGGAGAGACTGACATGCTACAGAGTCAGTCTTACATGCTAGAGTGTCTGACATGATAGAGAGTCTTTCATGCTAGAGAGACTGACATGCTAGAGAGACTGACATGCTGGAGAGACTGAATTGCTACAGAGTCAGTCTTACATGCTAGAGAGACTGACATGCTGGAGGGTCGTACATGCTAGAGAGTCTTACATGCTAGAGAGACTGACATGCTGGAGGGTCGTACATGCTAGAGTGTCTGACATGCTAGAGAGACTGACATGCTGGAGAGTCGTACATGCTAGAGAGACTGACATGCTACAGAGTCTTACATGCTAGAGAGTCTTACATGCTAGAGAGTCTGACATGCTAGAGAGACTGACATGCTGGAGAGTCGTACATGCTAGAGAGACTGACATGCTACAGAGTCTTACATGCTAGAGAGTCTTACATGCTAGAGAGTCTTACATGCTAGAGAGACTGACATGCTACAGAGTCTTACATGCTAGAGAGTCTTACATGCTAGAGAGTCTTACATGCTAGAGAGTCTTACATGCTAGAGAGACTGACATGCTAGAGAGACTGACATGCTACAGAGTCAGTCTCACATGCTAGAGTGTCTGACATGCTAGAGAGTCTTACATGCTAGAGAGACTGACATGCTAGAGAGACTGACATGCTACAGAGTCAGTCTCACATGCTAGAGTGTCTGACATGCTAGAGAGTCTTACATGCTAGAGAGACTGACATGCTAGAGAGACCGACATGCTGGAGAGACTGACATGCTACAGAGTCAGTCTTACATGCTAGAGTGTCTGACATGATAGAGAGTCTTTCATGCTAGAGAGACTGACATGCTAGAGAGACTGACATGCTAGAGAGACTGAATTGCTACAGAGTCAGTCTTACATGCTAGAGAGACTGACATGCTAGAGTGTCTGACATGCTAGAGAGTCTTACATGCTAGAGAGACTGACATGCTAGAGAGACCGACATGCTGGAGAGACTGACATGCTACAGAGTCAGTCTTACATGCTAGAGTGTCTGACATGATAGAGAGTCTTTCATGCTAGAGAGACTGACATGCTAGAGAGACTGACATGCTAGAGAGACTGAATTGCTACAGAGTCAGTCTTACATGCCAGAGAGACTGACATGCTAGAGTGTCTGGCGTGCTAGAGTGTCTGACATGCTAGAGTGTCTGACATGCTAGAGAGTCTCACATTCTAGAGTGTCTGACATGCTAGAGTGTCTGACATGCTAGAGAGTCTGACATGCTAGAGTGTCTGACATGCTAGAGAGACTTACATGCTAGAGAGACTGACATGCTAGAGAGACTGACATGCTACAGAGTCAGTCTCACATGCTAGAGTGTCTGACATGCTAGAGAGACTGACATGCTAGAGTGTCTGACATGCTAGAGAGTCTGACATGCTAGAGTGTCTGACATGCTAGAGAGTCTGACATGCTAGAGTGTCTGACATGCTAGAGAGACTTACATGCTAGAGAGACTGACATGCTAGAGAGACTGACATGCTAGAGAGACTGACATGCTACAGAGTCAGTCTGACATGCTGGAGGGTCGTACATGCTAGAGAGTCTGACATGCTAGAGTGTCTGACATGCTAGAGAGACTGACATGCTAGAGAGACTGACATGCTAGAGAGACTGACATGCTAGAGAGACTGACATGCTAGGGAGACTGACATGCTAGAGAGTCTGACATGCGAGAGTGTCTGACATGCTAGAGAGACTGACATGCTAGAGAGACTGACATGCTAGAGAGACTGACATGCTAGAGTGACTGACATGCTAGTGAGACTGATATGCTAGAGAGTCTGACATGCTAGAGAGACTGACATGCTAGTGAGACTGACATGCTACTGAGTCAGTCTCACATGCTAGAGTGTCTGACATGCTAGAGAAACTGACATGCTAGAGAGGCTGACATGCTAGTGAGACTGACATGCTAGAGAGTCTGACATGCTAGAGTGTCTGACATGCTAGAGAGACTTTCATGCTAGAAAGTCTCACATGCTAGAGAGTCTGACATGCTAGAGTATCTGACATGCTAGAGAGTCTGACATGCTAGAGTGTCTGACATGCTAGAGAGACTTACATGCTAGAGAGACTGACATGCTAGAGAGACTGACATGCTACAGAGTCTGACATGCTAGAGTGTCTGACATGCTAGAGAGACTGACATGCTAGAGAGACTGACATGCTACAGAGTCAGTCTCACATGCTAGAGTGTCTGACATGCTAGAGAGACTGACATGCTAGAGAGACTGACATGCTAGTGAGTCTGACATGCTAGAGTGTCTGACATGCTAGAGTGTCTTACATGCTAGAGAGTCTGACATGCTAGAGTGTCTGACATGCTAGAGAGTCTGACATGCTAGAGTGTCTGACATGCTAGAGAGACTTACATGCTAGAGAGACTGACATGCTAGAGAGACTGACATGCTACAGAGTCAGTCTCACATGCTAGAGTGTCTGACATGCTAGAGAGACTGACATGCTAGAGTGTCTGACATGCTAGAGAGTCTGACATGCTAGAGTGTCTGACATGCTAGAGAGACTTACATGCTAGAGAGACTGACATGCTAGAGAGACTGACATGCTAGAGAGCCTGACATGCTACAGAGTCAGTCTGACATGCTGGAGGGTCGTACATGCAAGAGAGTCTGACATGCTAGAGTGTCTGACATGCTAGAGAGTCTTACATGCTAGAGAGACTGACATGCTAGAGAGACTTACATGCTACAGAGTCAGTCTCACATGCTAGAGTGTCTGACATGCTAGAGAGACTTACATGCTAGAGAGACTGACATGCTAGAGAGACTGACATGCTACAGAGTCAGTCTCACTTGCTAGAGTGTCTGACATGCTAGAGAGACTGACATGCTAGAGAGACTGACATGCTAGTGAGACTGACATGCTACAGAGTCTGACATGCTAGAGTGTCTGACATGCTAGAGAGACTGACATGCTAGAGAGACTGACATGCTAGAGAGACTGACATGCTACAAAGTCAGTCTCACATGCTAGAGTGTCTGACATGCTAGAGAGACTGACATGCTAGAGAGACTGACATGCTACAGAGTCAGTCTTACTTGCTAGAGAGACTGACATGCTAGAGTGTCTGACATGCTAGAGAGACTGACATGCTACAGAGTCAGTCTTACATGCTAGAGAGACTGACATGCTAGAGAGACTGACATGCTAGAGTGTCTTACATGCTAGAGAGACTGACATGTTAGAGTGTCTGACATGCTAGAGAGACTGACATGCTAGGGAGACTGACATGCTAGAGAGTCTGAAATGCTTGTCGTAAGAGGCGACTAACAGGATCGGGTGGTCAGGCTCACTGACTTGGTTGATGCATATCATGGTATCCCAATTGCGTGGCTCGATGCTCATGATGTCAATCACTGGATTGTCTGGTCCAGACTGGATTATTTACAGGCCGCCGCCGTGCGGCGTTAAACAATCAAACAAAAAAGTCCAATCCACCAAGTCACCAAGCCTAAACATTTGCATGTCGGTCGGTGTGTAGGCTGTTGAAGTGGGGTTTTCGTTGAGCGAAAATATACCCAAAGATATCATATACATAGAGGACCCCCACGAGGTTGGATTGTCTTAAAGAATGAATGGGTACATTAATATAATGTACGTGTGTAGCGAAACCTACCTCTTAAACCGATCGTTGTGTGTCAATGAACTAATGCCTAGGAAGCTAGGATACATACTTCTAGAACAAGTTACAGTTAATATTCAGTCAAAGGAATACAATAAAATAGTGTGCAAAGATGTTTTAGTCAAAGCAACAGATAACAACGATGGGGAAACGGTTCTTTTCAAGATGACTATTAAGTTTATTCAGCTGTATTTGTCAGTTAACTGCATATATTTGCCTTTGTTTCAGACTTTCAGTGAAACATGACGTCGGTTACTTTTCTCTTTATGGCATGCGCAGTGCTAGCATGCATACCGGTAGTGACGTCAAACGAACCTGATGCTGCTCCTGTGCTTCCTGTCATCGATCTGAGGCATCCGCTTGTCTCACCGGACTCTGCCTGCCTCTTCATCTGTGAAATGTGTTTCAGGAACGATGTGAGTTCACTGGATGCGTTCCTCGTGTCCGTTTACGCCTTTGTAGGGTTATACAATAGACTGATTATTTCATCTCGAGATGACAAATTAACACTTTAGTATATATCTGTAGGGCTGAAACAAATATATATATTTATATATGTTCTTCTTTTCAAGTAAGTGAGAATTATCCTCAATTATGCTCTGAACCATATCTCCATTCTAATTTACAACCTGGACACTTTCGCCACCTAGTCTCGTTTTGAGGCCGGTTTCAATGACACGATCGTAAGAGGCGACTACCGGGATCGGGTGGCCAGGCTCGCTGACTTGGTTGATCAGAAATGCAGATATACGCAGTAAAATAAAATCCAAGCGTATGAAATACGCAACGAACATTACAGATGCGCTACAAAAATAAAACTTGTGCGTCATCTAAATATTGTGAAGTAACCCTGCGTATTCGATTCGCAAATCAGCAACTTATTTTGAAATTATAAACGGGCATTCCGTCAACCTTGCCAAACTCCACGATGACAGTTACATCATGATCATTTGCCATCACACTTTCTTGTGGAAGTATCGTGGTATTTTTGAGTCCTACAAAGCTCTCGAACCCACACGACACCAGTTTGCAGGGACTAGATGAATAGTGTTTTTAAATATTTAACTTAAATACCACATGTGTAAAAACTAGTGGGTAACAGAAATTTGAATACCCAGATAGAATTACTGATACCCAATGATTTTAAAATGCATGCGTAAAATACCCACAACACCAAAAGCTTATCTGGAGCTCTGTATCCTAATCGCGTTGATCAATGCTCATGGCATCAATCACTGGACTGTTTGGTCCAGACTCGATTATTTACAGACCGCCGTCATATAGCTGGAATATTGCTGAGTGCGGCGTTCAACAACAAACAAACGAACAAACAATGACACGACGCTTCCAACAACGTCCAATTGTTGTCTTCCGTCGCAAATACATCGGTAATGTATTGTAGCATTTGTCTCGTCACGTGGCATTCATACAGATAAGAACGGTTATTTCTGAAAGGTGAATCAGCAAGAAAGGCAAGAGCTTGATTCGCTGGAGACAACGTGGAAACGATCGAAAACAACGTTTCATGAAAATTTGTATAATACCGATGTTTTCCTTCAAAGGCCGCGATCAATATTAAAGTGAATTGCATACAGCAATATCCAACCTCAGCGAGGATTCCGGAACACAATAGGTCTCCAGTACCCCAGGACTTGCATGGGGACGACTTAAAAAGAGATCGTAGGGTCAGGCTTGGCGTATTGTGTGTCATCGTACCATGTGTCGGGGACACTGATTTCTTGACCGACGATCGGTTAATTTCAGTGTTACACCTGGAATATTGCGGTCAATAGCGAAAACCAATCAACCTACAAAACAGTCGCACATTGTAACCACCCAATTCACATTTTAACCGACTTTTACTATGTGATACTTTTGACCTATTCATAATCTATGGAATCCCGCTGGATTTGTGCGGAGGTGAGGTGAGGTGAGGTGAGGTGAGGTGAGGTGAGGTGAGGTAAAATAGGGTTTATCGTCTCGTCCAAGATTATTGCACTTATGTAGCGACGTGATGCACGTGTGTGTGTGTGTGTGTGTGTGTGTGTGTGCGTGCGCGCGCGCTTGTACTAATGCCGCTTTTGCTTGTACTAATGCCGCTTTTGTCGTGCCGCAGTTTAACTTGGATACTCCACGCAGACAGTATACTGACTCCCAGCCAGCCTGTCCTTGTGTTATCCCCTTAATGTCGAGCACCAGGCGAGATAACTACAAGTAGCATCTTTTAACATCTTTTGAGCAAACGCTGTAGCCCCAACTAGACCACGGCTAGTTGTGTAGAGCAGGTAGATATAATGTCTTAAATGGCTCAATTCAATAACCTGTGTTCAACAATGTGGACCCTAACATCTAGCGTTGTAATATATTTTCAGTTAGACATGTTGATGTATTGCGTCAACAGCATCTGCAGCCCCGACCGCTGCAACGTCGTCGACCTGGTTTTGATTGGGAGGACGTGCAACGACACAGCGTTACTGGATCAGTACGTCTTCCCGAAAAAGACGAATACGTATTCCCCGCCGGATACGAATACCCAGCAGGAGACCAACCAGTAGACGGGCAGCTCTGTTCATCACACTTCGAAATAAACTAACGTCGATGTGATAACCAGCAGTTATCTAGTTTGTTATCATTAGACTCTTTGCATATCTAGGTTTATGGACCCGTAGGAATAATTTCACAAATACGGAATACAATTAAGTATTGAACCCAGCCTTATTTTTCCCCCGCCAAGTCATCTGTACTGTTCGTTCTTCCCTAAATGAAGGCAATTTTTAATTAGGTCAATGTGGGAAGTAAGCCTTTGTCTCTAAGTTTCAGCTCACCTGATTAAGAGCTCATGTCATGGCTTGTGTGTCCGTCGTGAACATCTCATGAAGCTAACCTTCACATAACTTCCCACCAAAGATTACTCCCTGTTTTGTTCAAGAGGTTGAAATCCGATTTTCAATATGGCCACCAGGGCAGCCACATTGAAAAACCTATTTATTGCTATCACTATGACATTTCTTTATAAAATGGAATATAAGTTGGTACATTTGTAGTTAGTAGTGAGCCTCAGCATACATGTTCTGGGGTTTTCTTTGCTATATATTAAATTTGAAGGTCTCCCAAAGGCATAGCTGCTCTTTTGCTCATATTTTGTTCAAATCATTAAATTTCAGTGTTAAGGCTTAATTTTATTTATAAAGTACTTGAATGCTAAAAGCATATTTTGAAAGTGTTGACTACCGTGGGGATTATGGTAAGGGTATAAGTCCCCAGCAACGTATGATTGTCGTAAGATTGGATTCAAAGCATTGGATGGTCACCTCCGTGACTTGGTTGATTGCATTCGATGCTGTCATCGTATCCAAATTGCGTGGATCGATGCTTGTGATCACAGGATTATCTGGTCCAGTCTCGATTATTTGCAGACCGCCATCTTATAGCTGGAGAGAGAGTGAGTGTGGTTTTACGCCGCTTTTAGCAATATTCCAGCAATATCACGGCGGGGGACACCAGAAATGGGCTTCACACATTGTACCCATGTCGGGAATCGAACCCGGGTCTTCGGCGTGACGAGCGAACGCTTTAACCACTAGGCTACCCGACAGCCCTCATATAGCTGGATTATTGCTACAAACCCCGTGGCGCGATTGTTTTCCTTTTTTCAAGGAACCGATAGTAGTAGTAAGTTCTTATTCATAAAAAAACAGCATCGTTTAATGTATTGTTTCTGTTCGTATTTAAACCAAGTGGTTTTGGTAAAACTACACCAACTAAGCAATCAACAAAAAATCAGAGGTCAGTTGACGTGTAAGAGCCCTTTGGGTAGCAGTTTTGTACAGTTTTCTAACGACAATGTCCTTCTTAAGCAGGTGTAAGGTGTCTTTTTCATCAAGGTGTATACCTTATTAGAAACACCTCTCTTCATAACCGGCCTTATATTATACGAACGATGTGGCGTTACACGGTTTACAGTGAATTCTCGGAATATCACCACTCCGTTGCTGACATGCAGAGGTATTACGTAGGTAGCGGAATTAGCCGAGTCGACCCGATGAGGGGGGAGAGAGGGGGCAGACAGAGAGACACGCAGTCAGAGAGAAGGGGGGTGGGGGTGGGACATATATTAAAGGTATTGATACATTCAGAAACATACTCTACTGTCGTATTTTGATCAGCAGTTTGGTCTTGTATGTGATGTCAGTAACTTCAGCGGATCGGGAAGAGGTGAGATGAAGGAGTATATCGGTTAATGTGTGTAATTACGAATACCGTTATTATCAATAATAGTTGGTATACTTGATTAGACACGATTAGACACATGTTCCTCTGTGTCGTGCTTGTCATGAGTAAATTTATCAGTCACATAGGGCGTGGGTCCTATTACGTGATGATGATGATGATGATGATGATAATGATGATGGTGATGATGATGATAATGATGATGATGATGGTGATGATAATGATGATGATGATGATGGTGGTGGTGGTGATGATGATGATGATAATGATGATGGTGTTGATGGTGATGATGATGATGGTGATGATAATGATGATGATGGTGGTGGTGGTGGTGGTGGTGGTGGTGGTGATGATGATGATGATGGTGATGATGATGGTGGTGGTGGTGATGATAATGATGATGATGGTGGTGGTGGTGGTGATGATAATGATGGTGATGATAATGATGATGATGGTGGTGGTGGTGGTGGTGGTGGTGGTGATGATGATGATGATGATGGTGATGATGATGGTGGTGGTGGTGATGATAATGATGATGAAGGTGGTGGTGGTGGTGATGATAATGATGGTGATGATAATGATGATGATGGTGGTGGTGGTGGTGGTGGTGGTGGTGGTGGTGATGATAATGATGATGATGGTGGTGGTGGTGGTGATGATGATGATGATGATGATGATGATGATGATGATGATGATGATGATGATGAAGATGATGATGATGTCTTAGTATATACCCTACAGCGTATTCACGGAGCAAGTGGCAGACGGACATACACATAGAGGCAGCTATAGATAGGCAACACCGAGAACTGAGACATACGCACACACATACTGACAGAAAGAGATCACTGTCAACATAGATGCTTTATCTACGAATGATTTTACGAATCCTTCAAGAAATAATGAATTGCGTCATTGTTTCGGAAGTATGTCAGTTCAGTTCATATCTCGGTCATGGTCTTCAATGGTTTAATGTGGCGCACTTTGTACGCGGCGCCCATGTAAATGACCTTGAACAGCTGCAGTACCTGGGTCGGAGACAATCATTGAATCGTCCAACACCTACTTAACACATCATATTTCCTATAAATTGATACACGAGTATCGACTGACGTGTAGGACTGGAGACATCAACATATGGTATGGGGTAATAACAATAAATACAATGGAACTAAATTCAATTGAGACCAACGAAGTCAATACTGAAGAAACGAGCCACACCCACACAAGCTGTCGCCAGCCATGCTATACACATTCGACCAGTACAAGAAGTCATCTGTGCTTAACTGGACGCTATTCCTCCAGGTAAGAGTAAATAGGTTGTAGGTTCGAGTCTAAGTTGTGGTTTTCCTGCACCTTGGCCTTATAGAAGTAAGACCTACTGGTATCAGGGAGTGAGTGAGTATAGTTTTACGCCGCTTTTAGCAATATTCCAGCAATATCACGGCGGGGGACACCAGAAATGGGCTTCACACATTGTATCCATGTCGGGAATTGAACCCGGGTCTTCGGCGTGACGAGCGAACGCTTTAACCACTAGGCTACCCGACCGCCCCTCAGATATGTTCAATGTGACTGGTATAATGATGCAGATGAAAACGTTTTCTGATTCATGCTGACTGTTTTCTTGTTTGTCAGCCTTAACAAAGAAATAATCGTCGAGGACCTGATCAATTCGGCTTCCCTCCCATTTAAGCTGATATAACGCCGTGATATAACTGAATGCACGTCGCCATATAAGTGCAAATCTTGAACGTGACGTCAAACATTAATTTCAACTCACCTGATTCGAGGTCGAGATTGGTATTCTCTGGCGTTGACATTTAATAGTTTTTAATTGTTTTGTTTGTTTTGTTTGTTTGTTTGTTGTTTAACGCCGCACTCAGCAATATGCCAGCTATAAGACGGCGGTCTGTAAAATGATCGCGTCTGGACCAGACAAGCGAGTGATTTACATCATGAACATAAATTCATGCATATGGGATACGATGACATGTATCAACCAAGTCAGCGAGCCTGACCACCCATTCCCGTTAGTCGCCTCTCACGACAACCGTGGTCGCCATTTACGGCAATCATGGTTTGATGAAGACCCATTCTACCCCGGATCGTCTATTCTCCTGAACTGTGTCGAAGTCAATACACACCGACTGGCAGTGAATCCATGTCTCCATGAATCCCTCATTTCAGAGTCCACGGTGAAGTATGAAGTTCCTCCTGCTTCTGGCGTGTGTGCTGACTGCCTATCTGTCTGTACCCGTGAGAGGGCAAGATCGGTTGCTTCCTGATGATAACCTGTCCACGTCTGATATAAGCAATTCACACAAATGCATGTACATTTGCAACATCTGCGCTGATGTAAGTTACCTCAGTCTACATTAATTGGTTTACACATCTACCGTCTCAAAATTTCAAAAGTAGAGACTGAATTTTTTTTTGTCATGATACTGTACGTGTAGTTTGTGTGCCTGTACGATTATAAGAGTGAAATGCGGCGGTAATAGGTATCTCTACTGTGGTAATCTAGGCCTCATTTCGTTTGTCTGTCTATTCGTTATGTGATTAACTAGGTAGCCTGCTATTGTAGTCATCTTTGTGAAGCCATTCAAGATAGAAACAGCGATCTGATTGGATATCGCGTTTTACATCACATGGGACTCAAATCGTGTTCTACACGGGGAGGCGCCACGATCGAGTCCAGAAAAGAAGGCTTGAAATGGCAAGGGTAGAAACTTGACTTTACTTGGCATAGTGGACAGTCTTTCCTCGGGAAGATGGGTTTAGCGGCGGTTTCACCAGTATTCGAGCTATATCACGGCCTGTCAGCTTAATGTGGGAGGAAAGCACCAAGTGATGCAGTTCTCAGACGTTTACCACTTTGGTGAAACCCTCGAGCTTCATGATGGTAACAAAGTTAGAAACATAATCGAGGCGAGCTGAGATTCGAACCCACAATCATAGGTTCCTGGTGTGCCCAAGGGACGCAACTCTGCACACTGTCTATGATTGGTCGTTCCAGGAGGTGGAGGCGTGTGCCAACACACATTGCACAGAGGTTGTTGACCCAGCTGGGATTGCCATTGTTAAACTGTCTGCGATTGGTTGTTCCAGGATGTGGAGAAGTGTGCCAACACACATTGCACAGAGGTTGTTGACCCAGCTGGGATTGCCAAGGTGGTTTCCGTGTGCCGAGACCTCGATACGTTGGTGATGTGCGTCTAAGATTCAGATATACCTACGTAGAGGTATGCTGGTGACGTCGCCCCTCCTCACACAAGTACGCTTATTTATCACAGTCATTATATGTGTCCAAAACAGAAATAAATCATTTCTAAAGGAACATATGCCTCATCTTTATTGATGAATTAATATCATTTGTTCGGTGACCATGCATATACATGGAAAAGATGAGCTTCGTATAATCATATTCAAGAAATACCACGTATATCATATTTAAGGGAAATAAAGTTTGCTCTACCCCCTGTGTAGTGTAATATAAGTTGTAGCAGGATCACGAGGGGGATCTTGAAAACCGTACAATATTACTTGCCTTGCACACAATCGGACATGTCACATTGAGGGGGCATATGAGTATTTCATGCTTGTTAATATTTAAAATCGTATTTTGTAGTCATTTTCTGACGAAACTCGTACATTGTTTTTACACATCACAGACTCGTCTTGAATTACAGAAACCTAAATATTTTACTAGTATCTAATAAATAACATTGCAGGGGATTTCGTGGCATTTGATTGGCTAACCAAGCATTTGGGTGCTTAAACCGAAAGAAAGAAATGGCCACGCCCACTAACGGACTGGTTTCCTGGTTGGATTCTTGATAATAGAATGGGCGGGGCTTGTGTTGTAATCATGGGTGAATCTCTGTGCAAAGCCTTCAGTATGTCGCCAAACCCGACATAACTGTGACCACAGCAAAGACTATGGTAACTATGTTTTTGCAACAAAGGCCCATACATGGCCACTTCCCACACTACTGTTACCATAACACAGGCCATTGTGCATCTTTCCGAGGCAAGGGAGTCATAAAAGACCACTTTCAACCCTTGCCAGACAAGGCTGGAATTTCTGGGCTCGATCGTAGCGCCACCAGTTGCAATTATGAAATTAGCGCTTCGATCCCCCTTCCTCTTGACCAATCAGATTCCACCTCTCATATTAGTTGTATTTGCTTCAAACAAAATGGCGGCACCCAGTCAAGACGATCTCATCGATAATCAAGATCTATATTGTAATAAAACGGGTCTTACCCCGCGAAGTGCATTCATCCAATCACGTGAGCACCTTGATTAAAAAGATGAAAAGATTTGGAAAACATTTGTCGACGATCAGTTGTCTGTACATATCCTTTGCAAATATTGCAGTCGAACAAAATCTGCACATTGAAATCCATGTTAATTTCGAACCGGATGTCGATTTCGTAACGCGATTTTGATTTGACTAAGGTTAGACTCGTAAGTTCAGCCAAAATAAAATTCCAGCCTAGTTCGGCAAGGGTGGAAACGACATTTACAGTCAGTAATGGGGAAAGATGGCCACTGTGACAAAAGTAGACACTGTGCCTGATATAATACCACTGCAAAGGACATTGTGACTACACCAATGGCAATTTTAGTTTCGTTTGTTGTTGACCACTGCAATATTCCAGCTAATTGACAGTGGCCTGTAAATGACCAGTGACCTGTAAAAGTCCAGTGATTGACATCATGAGCAACGATCTCCTCAATTAGGACATGATGACACTGACTTAAACCAAGTCAGTGGGTCTGACCACCAGATCCTGACAGTCGCCTCTTACCACAAGCATGATTTCCTGAACACCCGTTCTAACCCGGATATTCACAGGGCCATTTTAGTTGACTCGTACAAGAAGCACTGTGCCACATTCTAACAGACTTCAAATACCAGCTTCCTGAATAGTTCAGGGGCGGTCGGGTAGCCTAGTGGTTAAAGCGTTCGCTCGTCACGCTTAAGACCCGAGTTTGTTTCCCGACATGGGTACAATGTGTGAAGCCTATTTCTGGTGTCATCCGCCCTGATATTGCTGGAATATTGCTATAAACGTGGCGTAAAACCATACTCACTCACAAACAGTTCAAATGGACCAGGATGTCATCCACATGTTCAAAGACAACACCACAAACAAGAAACACAGTGTGCTACTGACTGAGCTGTATTCTATGCTTGTATATACAATATAAATACACATAATTGTGTTAAATCACAAAGAAAACACCATAAATAACTCAGTCAGCTTCAGACAGTCAACAACCGGGTTCCTCCATGTCCTTACTGTCTAGAAGGAGGAGGAAAACTCCCCCCACATTGATAATAAAACATAATGGAAAAATGAATGTAGATAATTGTTAAATCATTTCAAAACATCTTCAGTTTTATCAGTTCTTTCATGTCTCCTCCTTAACATAAGTTGTGTGAAAATGCTGACATCTTGTCAAATTGTCCCCTTACATCAGCTACACTCAAAGATTCCTACATAGAAACATTTAACCTCTACCTACTTCAACAAAACCATCATTTATTCAATACTATATGTCAGTATATACATTGAAATTATTTGGTACCAACTTATTTACCATGTTTACAGGTGGCATGTATTTGTTTGTTTGTTTTTTAACGCCATACTCAATATTCTAGCTAGATGGAAGCGATCTGTAAATAATCGAGTCTGGGACAGACAATCCAGTGATTGACATCATGAGCATCGATCTACGCAATTAGGATACGATGACATGCATCAACCAAGTCAGCGAGCCTGACCACCCGATCCAGTCAATCGCCTCTTACAAGCATAGTCGCCCTTTTTGGCAAGCATTGGTTGCTGAAGACCTATTCTACCCCAGATCTTCATGTGGCTTGTAACAAGATCAGAAACATGTATGGAAAGTATTGAGGGTGCCAACCCCCTCCTCGGAATCCCCCAAACCATCAAATCTTTCATCGGAATCTCATTGCTAAACCCTGAATCACAAATACTACTTACACAAACCTCAAAAGCATTGAGAAAATGCTGCAATTTGAATGTTGAATCTCTGTACCAAGTATGATTTTATTTTCGTCCCGCATACCACACTGCTGAGACCTGAATAACCTCTAAATAGACCCTGATTTCTGCATACCAAAAAGGGGGTTGGCTAGCTCAATATTCAAACACGGTCTGATAGGTAAGGGAAGTAACTCTGATTTGCATGTCATTACACTACCAGCTCTACAAGCCCTCCCGGTCATATACTGGAGTTACAGGGGTACCAGCATTACACTCTCTGCATAGAACTACCTGACATACTTTCTTCAACAGAAAACATTTTCTTTCAGAAAATTTGTTAAAATCTCAAAATATGGGGAAGCCCAAGTTAAGCATGTTATCAGCAAGTGAGTATTCCAGCAATATCACGACGGGGACACCAGAAATGGGCTTCACACGTTGTACCCATGTCGGGAATCGAACCCGGATCTTTGGCGTGACGAGCAAACGCTCTAACCACTAGGCTACCCGACCCCCCCTTGTTATCAGCAAGGAACTTTATAGTCAGTTGTAATCTCATCACAAGAGAGAAATAAATGAAATACTGTACTTATTATAAAAACAAAAACATTTGGTGTACTTGCTCACATCTTCAAATGAAAAATTCATTCAGATCATGTTTACCACAAAAATTAAACAGAAACTGCAAAACAGCAAGGTAGGGAATGCATTTGCATGAAAGCTGACAACAATGATGATTGGCAGGTGTGCATTTCACTTGGTGTCATCATGACTAAACAGCTGTTGTGGACCTGCTGACATATTTAGGGCTGGTCTGTAGGAAATGTGTGAACAGTTTTAAATAAAATTCCATCCACGGTCTATATACAACCACAAGACTTCAGTTGTATTTGTCATGTATTTGATAAAAACGTGGATCAGTGAAATAAACATGAAAAATCAAGGCTAGTTGAGTCACGGAAACCACAACAAAGTTTGTTTTTGCCTTCTTTCACATGTTGAGTAGATTGGGGGGATGATATTTTATGACAACAGGTATGACCAACATCTACTGAGTGGCTTTCTTCTTCTTCCCTTTGTCTTTCTTCTTCATTCCATCCAAGTTTCCTTTGATGAGATTAGCATATGCCTGGAAGATGAAAACAGTAATATATATGGGGACACACAGGTAGGAAATATATGTGGACACTTCTTAAAAGTCATTATTGAGGAGTCACACAGATAACAAGAGATAAAACATCACATTTTCAATTGCCAAGAGAACAGTTCAGTTGCATCTCGAATGAACCATTCTACACCCACATTAAAAGTTCATGGCGCTCCTCCAAACTGTCCTAAAACTAAACAGTGGGTGTCGCGAAGTGGCCCAATCTCATTAAAATCAGATCTTGGTTCTCACTGCCGCCAAACAAAGTTCTGAGGACATCACATTAGCGGTCATGTCAGAACGACCTTTCACAAACTTTGACCGACCACTGAATTGACTAACAAGAAGTCGACATCAGCCAATTAGAAAGCAGCTTTCTCAAGCTTTACGGCACTCGTTTCAACCTGGTGACATCCATTTCAGACTACACTTGAAAAAATTATCACTGTTCTTGATTAAAATTTTGTAAACTGAACAAACATTCCAGAAGGTCTAATATATGGTTGAGATTGTATGGCAGTGCTCCCCATGCCTCCTCTGATCAAATGTTTATCCCATGGAAGCGAGAATTGACGATAATTTTGACGGAATCAGTCGTACGGGCCATAACAGTCGTTCAGAACACACCATGTTAACCTTTTCAAGGTTGCATGATTAGAAAACTCATTCCGACTGTCACTTTCATGATCTGGTAAGCGACACTTTGATTGGTTGGATGAAAGGTCATTCTGACGTGACCTGTAATGGGATGTCCTCAGATATTTGTTTAGTGATAACAAGAACTAAGATCTGATTTTAATGAGATTGGAAGAGGCCGAATTTGAGGTCGTATAGCGACCTAGCAGGGCTCTGAAAATATAAGAACTCCTCTCCCCTGAAACATTTTTGCCTGCTCTCTCAGAGATTAAATCTTGGCTTCAATTTGCCTCATTTCGTAGGGATTTATGAGCAAAAAAAGATGTTTACAACATACAATATGGTGGCCGGTTGTCATTCTGTGGAGATTATCAAACATGAATAAACATACATGGAGAAGGGGTGAAATTTTGAAAGCCAGACGGGCCATCTACTTTACAGTTCAGCAAGCCCTTTGTAATTTTAACTGGACATGGGCCAATGGGCCAGCAATTAAATCGACCCCTGGTAAACGTATGCATAAATGTTGTGCATAATGGTAAACACTGTAAAACACTCAGTGGCATATATCTATATCGGTTACTGCCTGTAGACTGGTGTCAATGCAAAGCGTATTGGCGACCTGCTTTTCTATCCCTATTTGGGCTGGGATGAGCTGGGTGTCTTGGGTACTCTGGTCAAGTGGGTACTGAGCACAAACCTGGGTACCCACAGGACAACCTGGACACATGCTACATTGCAGTCACATGATATATTGTTTAATGACAAAAATTATCCATGAATCCATGATTACACTACAAGTCACTAATGTTTCGGATTTCTTTCGGACTATGCATGCATTCCTTCTGACTGTTTGAGCAAAGCTTCAGTCAACTTCAGTGTATGCATGATCAGAGCATTTAATATGTGTAAATACTTATTGCCAGGGCTCTGGTCAAACAATTCCGAATAGGATATTTTGTAACCATCTCTTGAGACCTACAGCGGGTACCTAGGTAGGTTGGGGTTATTTGGGGTCGGGTACCTGGGTAGTATATTGCGACTCATTCGAGCCCTCTTCCCTGCAACATATCGTGGTAGTAGGTGAGGTGAAATGGGGTTTAACGTCACATTTAAGATTATTGCACTTATATTCAAACATGTATGAACATGTGTGTGCGGCTGCTTGTACTAGTCTCATTTTATAGTGCCACCCCACAGAGATACCATGCCGCAGTTTAACATGAATACCCCACTCTGAGCCTACCAGTCCTAGTTTCAGCTCCTTAATGACGAGCACTAGGCAAGCTAACATCAAGTACCATCTTTTAATGTCTTTTGGTACGATCAAACCCACGACCTTCCACTCCCCGAGTAGATGTTCAATATAATGGTAGCAGCATTTTACTCAGACATGGCTGGACACACAACCCCTACTTTCACACATAAAATAGCATATCACCACAGCACAATTCATAATCAGGTATAACAAGCTTGGGGTTATGCTAACTCTGCTTATTAACCAGTAATTCAATTCATGTTCAACAAATAATTTACAGAATGATGGGTTACCATGGTTACTTAATCTGTGCCATCATAATTCATTGTTGAAAGAGACTTACCAACTGAAACTTATTGACATCTTTCTGATGCACCTGAAAGAGAACAACACACACATCAATACATCTGTGTACATAGTTAACAAGAATAGGTCTTCAGCAACCCATGCTTGAAAGGCAACTAACATGATCGGGTGGTCAGACTAGTTGATTTGGTTGATGCAGGTCATTGTATCCTAATTGCAACAATGTTTAAAATGATGTATTTTGCCACTACCATACTTGTAAACTATTATTTGTATATGGGCCTATACCATTGGAAATGGTCAAAAGGTCTACTGCTGACTTTCAACTAGTGGTTATGTAAAACAACAAGATTTTGGTAGAAAACAAAGTCTATAAATTTCACTAGTCTGGGACTAACAGATGAGTGGCTGTGTCTATCCCCCATACTCACAACAGTACTGATCTTCTTGCTGCCAAGCGCTGCGCGTATCAGACACTTGTACTCTGTTGGGTCTGGCACATGTCCAGCTCTTGGTAAAGGTTTTGTTCTGCCATCATCTGGACAAAAGTATCATATATAAAACATGAACAGATAATCTTCAGGAAATACTCGTCTGCATCTAAACATTACGTTTACTCTGCTGGGTGTGGGAATTCACATGTGAAGGGTGATTGAGTACGGTTTATGCTAACTATGCAAAATTCCCGCATTGTGATAGGGGATGTCAGTTAATGGCTTCATACATTGTACCCGTGTGTGGAATCGAACCCAGGCCTTGAGACATAACAAGCGAATGTTTTAACCATTATGCAAGAGACCATATAATGGTATGGTCTCTGATTATACTAACCAACCATCCAACATCACGAGTGAAATGTGTGGTGTAGGAGCTACACGGGCAAAGAAAACAGGTGAGCTGCTTTGTATAAAGTACACGGATGGTCTTCTTAAAAATTAATTATAGAGGAACAATAGAACAATCAATAGATGTAAAAATTTAGAAAGAAACAGAATAAATTATCATTGAACACATATTCACTGGCAGCTGTGGATGCTATCATAAGCATATCGTGGGCTAGTATGAAGAGTTATAAATATATATACTTTATTCATAAATATATCACTCAGCTACACGTTAATCACAAAGACCAATTAAGAACGTAGAGCGGTTTATTTCACAACAAAACATTGATCTATCATAAGGTCATATCTGGAGATTCGAATGAGCGCTCACAACTTGATGACATCATATACTGGACGACGTTACTTTTGAGAGGTGTGTGTCTAGTGAGTTGTTCCCCATAGATGTAGCTGGAGTATGCAGAATGATAGTATCCAAAAATGGGAGGGGCATGACAATCAGTATTAGGAGAAAATGTACAGATAATCAATATGAGGATTGTGAGAATATGTGATTGTGAAATACCAGACTTCATGAAATGGACTTGTCCAACATTGCCGAGGTCAGATTCTATTCAGGGAGTCATCATTATTAAAATCAAGGTAACTATTTTCAAAGCTTGTACATTTTATCAACATTCTGAAAGAGCCTATAGATAAGGTTGATATCTCATATAAGATTTCGACTCGTGGTCGCTTATTTCTTAAGTAAATCCTACATCGCACATTGGCAGATCTATCTTACGGGATGATCCATAGCCAGGCTCCGTATTTACATTTATTAACACAAATAAAGTTTCACTTTTATCCGTTCAAACATTTATATTGCACTGAATAACATAGTAAATATTTATTTAAAGTTCTCATCAACCAAAACATTCGTCTTACATCGCTTCATGGTGAGGCTGATCGATCCAGATGTTTTCCCCTTCTGGAAAAGTCGAGTGAGCTCCGTAAGGAACTGAAATGTAGAGGGCAAGTATTACTCAAACCACATGACACAAAGGAGAATCTTTTCAAAACTGTCGAAAAATATATCAAACTTTTGATTTAAAACAACATATGTTTTACTCACAAAGTCATTTTCCAACAACATGCTGCCAACAAGGTGTAACTCTTTTGCAATGAAGTCAGTATACTGAATTCAGGAAATAGTAAAAGTGACCTTCCGTTACCTAAAACGAATATTAATTGTTAAAACACTAGGACATAAAAGGGAAGTAAGGATTTAATTTAGCTAGTTATATTAACACAGTAAATAGTAGTTAAATTCTGGAGTCCAAATAATGGCCACACATAAGTTCTAACAGAATTAATATTGATCTTATTCAAACAAATATATATTCGTAGAATTTGAGCCTGATATTTCAAGTCTACCGAAGCCATTGATTTGTAACAGACTCATTGATTGGTTCAAATTAATTCCTCGTGAATCGGATAGTCACACCGGACTGGTCTCAGTAAAGAGCTCTTACGGTCGTTTTCATATTGATATTTCATGTAAGTAAATAAGTATGAGACATCACGAGCTGTCGATCCTGTTAAATATTGTTCCTGTACAACTTCCGTGTTTGCATGTATTTCCAAAAGTGTCAAATTTAACATTCATATTATATTTTTTCATTTTGTGCTAGTTGGTATAGCTAGCTGTTACGGTTAAAAAAATTAACGGTTGGATAATGGTTTTAGCAATTGAGATTTTAAAATAAAATAGGGTACGAATGCACAAGTACACACAGCATATGGCTTTACAACAGGAACAATACAAGTTGAAATGGGTAATCTATTACATAGAATCTCTGTATGTAAACAATATGTATGTTCCTCCTTGCATTCAAATATTAATACAAATATATTTTCCTTGAATTTTCCTAGAAACAAACCCGTTTCACTTGCACCCCATGCAAACTGACAAAAACTTTTTCTTCATCCTCTCAATCTGTGGCTTGTATTAGTTAGACCGCCTCCGTGGTCTAGTGGTAAAGTGTCCGCCCTGAGAGCGGAAGGTCCGGGGTTCGAGAGCTAGCACTATAAATTGGCATCAGTCCGGACTAGTACAAGCAGCCACACAAACACACACACACACACGTGCAAGCACGTCGCTATATAAGTGCAATAATCTTGGACGCGACGTTAATTTCACCTCACCTCACCTCACCTTGTATTAGTTATGTATTCAGTTAGACCGCCTCCGTGGTCTAGTGGCAGAGCGTCCGCCCTGAGAGCGGAAGGTCCGGGGTTCGATCCCCGGCCGCGTCATACCAAAAGACGTTAAAATATGGTACTTGTTGTTACCCTGTCTGGCGCTCGGCATTAAGGGGCTAAAACAAGGACTGGTCGGCTCGGCGTCAGTATACTGTGTCTGAGTGGGGTATTCATGTTAAACTGCGGCATGGTATCTCAGTGGGCTAGCACACACGACATGCACGTCGCTATATAAGTGCAATAATCTTGGACGCGACGTTAAACCCCATTTCACCTCACCTCACTATGTATTCAGTTATGTGCGTAAGGTTTTGTTTGTTTGTTGTTTAACGCTTCAGTGTGCGATATTCCAGCTGTATGACGTCAGTCCGTAAAATTATTAATCAAATCTGGACCAGACAATCTGGTGATTGGCATCATGAGCATAGATCTACACAATTGGGATATGATGACATGCACCAACCAAGTCAGCGAGCCTGACCACCCGATCCGGTTAGTCCCCTTTTACGACAAGTAGGGGTTGCTGAAGACAAATTCTAACCCGGATCTTCACGGGATACTGTACGTAAGGATAAAACTTAAAAGTTACAAAACTTTATCCGCAAAGATGCCATTACATATTTTGTATTAACCGTATAATTCATGTGACCAATGTTGTAGATGAATAGATTACTTACACACAATAACTTTATCAATGTAGATCATAATTTAAAATGTGCTAATTTCAAGACACGACGCCTTATGATCATTTCAGATGAACGAGCTTAATATCCGTGTATGGTATTTCCGTTTGAAAAAGGGGGCACGGGTGACCCAGTCGTCTAAGGCGCCGTGATTCGCTGTGCAGAGTTACGTCCCTTGGGCACGCCAGAAACCTATGCTTGTGGGTTCGAATCCCGTTTCGCCCCGAGTATGTTTCTAGGTTTGTCAGCACCATACCCGTGCTCGTGGGTTTCACCGAAGTGGTCATCGTCTGAGACCTGCATCACTTCGGGCTTTCCTCCCACATTAAGCTGACACGCCGCGATATAACTTGAATACTGTTAAAAGCGGCGTTAAACCCAACTCACCCACTCACCATATGAAAAAAACCTGTAAGTCATTTTATGTCATCAAGTTGTGCGACTGGTCTACGGGACCGGGACTGTCAGTGTTACGTCCCTTAGATGCAAACTAATGATGCGCCGTGACGTGGGAAGAGTGAGTGAGTGGGTGGGGTTTAACGCCGCTTTGAACAGCATTCCAGTTATATCATAATGTGTCAGCTTAAGCGTGAGCAAAGACCGAAGTGATGCAGGTCTGAGACGTTTACCACTTTGATGAAGCCCACGAGCAAGGGTATGGTGCCTACACACCTAGAAACATAATCGTGGCGAGACTGGGATTCGAACCCACGATTATAGGTTTCTGATCAGCCAAGGGGACGCAACTCTGCACAACTAGTTGGGGCTCCTTAGACGACTTGGCAGTCCGTGCCACGACTGAGAAAGACATTATGCATTAATGCAAAACCAATCTAGATTTTGATAATAGCAAAGTCTAGCTACACTGTAAAGAAATTGTCGTAAATTTACGATAAAATCACTGATGTCATGTTTGCCAATCTTTGTGTGATTTTAAATTCAAAATGTATTTACATTCAAAATATAAATTATAATTTACAGTTTTTCTTTAAATGCACATTGATTCCGTATTTCAGCAGGGAAGAAAAATTTCGCCCGTCACATAGTTGCCGTTTTCGCCAGAGAAATCGGTGACGTTTTGCTGAGGTGCCGTTTTAGCCTGCACCCAAGAAAATCATCCCCAAACTGTCAGTATTTGTATTAAATGCATACATAGAAATTGCAGATTTGTAAAAATGTATTATTCCACACCAACAGTTAAATATAATACATAGGGTGTGTTTCTAATTGACACCATGAAAGAAAAGTTAAAGACAACTGCAATCATGTTCCAGTGTACGTTCGTCCTAAAGATGCACGTATCTAAGCCTCTTCTTATTTTCTGTTGTAGGCTTAAAAACGATTCCCCCCCCCCCCCCTTTTATGTTCGCCCATGTGTGGAAATCAATTTCTTATGATTCACCCGTAGCGTAAGTTTCGAAACGCGTATAACGGTATTACATGTATATTCTAGACTTTTTCAAACTGTTAGGGCTGTGAGAGACTTCCATATTTAGAAGGCACCTTGGTCTCCCCAATTATTGTTTTATTGTATAGTTTTCAGTTTGAAAATATGTAATACATTAAAAATTGAATAAAATGGAGTATTTTGGTTACGTTTATATGTTTTCTTTATTAAGCCCGGTTTTTAATGTTGGGTTTAATTATTATTTTCCCTTTAAGGCAGAGACCATATATCGGTGTATTGTCTCTGTGAAAGGGGATAAAACTCGTCGTCAGGCCCTGCAATCCAGGTAGCTTTATAAAATCAGCATTACGGATTGGTCATTTATGATTCTATCGTATTTTGCTAAACATCCGGGATTCGAACCCACATTCTCAGAGTGAGGCACTTAATCGCCAGTACAGAAAGTCAGCGATCTAATCCACTCATTCACTAAGGTTTCAACTGTGGCTAATGGTTTATTTTCCGGATTTTAATGTTGGGAAATCTAACCAATGAAATGTTCCGTTACAAAAGCCTGAGGTACTTTCTGCCGGCAGATTTGTTCTGTTATTTCAACCTGAGAGAAAAGCATGGGAAGGGAGGAAAACATAACAGAAGATGAGGCTGCACTTTACGACAGACAGATTCGTCTGTGGGGTCTTGATGCCCAGAGAAGGTTGGTTAAATAGAGAAATGGCTATTTAACATCTTAGCGATGCGAGCAGTACGTGTCAGTTGTCATTGTCATGTTTGTTGGCGTTCGTGTTATTGTTCAAATACTGGTCGGTTTTAAGTGAATGAAGTGTTTCTACCGATGTGGTGTTATGTAGGAGCTGAACTTGTATCTGATTATTAAACCCATCACCGATAGATGACACTGTAAAACTAGAAAAGAAGCTTTCAAAAGAGATTGTCAATGTCACACTCATCTTGTCTCAATCTCATTTGAAGATGGGAGTTGAGATTGATACGAAAGGGTTAAACGGTACCTCAGCAAAACGTCACCGAGCAAAAACGGCACCGATTGGCGAAAACGTTACCGAGCATAAACCGAAAACGCCTACTATTGCCTGCTGAAAACGGCACCATATCTTTATTTTTACCTTGGTAGTGAAATAAATTAAATTAGACTCACATAGTCACTTGCAAAGACCAATAATTGTGAAATGTTAACCCTTTCCATATCCAATAGAAACCTCGGCATAAAGTGCAGAGTTGATTTACGATTCCGACTATATCTGAGCATGTGTTTATGAATCACTATCAAATATTATTGCTAAAATGGATAGATTCATCATTAAAGCACCCGCACAATGGGCCATGATTATCACGCCTGTTGTCAGGTGACGTCATCGTGATGTTCAATAGTGACGTCATCTGGTTTGCCAATCAACATGCTGTATAATGTGACAACTGTGACCAGTGGAGCCATAATAATAAAGCATGTAAATAAAGCATATAATCTACTACATAAATCGTTCTTATCGTTATTAAACTAGAGGTGCCATTTTCGCCCGACAAGTAGTAGCCGTTTTCGCCAAATGAGGTGCCTTTTTCGCCCGAGAAGTTGGTGACGTTTTGCTGAGGTGCCGTTTTAGCCAGCACTCATATGAAATAGGTGAAACCAAAGACGTATATGGATATACGTATATATACGTCTTTGGGGAAACCAAGGAACATGAAATGGAAAATCTTAGAGTTCCTTTAATAGGTCATGTAGGCCAAGGACTTAGTCACTATCAGTGTATTATTATGTACCCTGTTTTCAAGCAGTTAAGACGAAATTGATGTGATTGAGGGATGGATGAATTAAAACAAATTCTTGTTCATTGTTCTTTTTCATCTTGACACGAACACCAAAATTCTGAATGATGACACACTGTTCTGACAGTGTACAGTACTTCAGAAGAACTCAATGTTGAGAGGCCTGATAACTGTCAGGTCGGCAGCTTTGATGAGGTCACACCTCTCATTATAACGCGACAAATCACTAACAATATGTTTGTTCAAAAATGGTAGATCCGGGGTAGAATAGGTCTTCAACAACCCATGCTTGCCATAAAAGGCTAGTATGCTTGTCGTAAGAGGCGACTAACAGGATCAGGTAGTTAAATTCACTGATTTGGTTGATGCATGTCATAGTATCACAATTGCTTAGATCGATGCTCATGATTTCAATCCCTGGATTGTCCAGACTTGTTTTTTTACAGACAGCAGCTGTGTAGCTGGAATATGCTGAGAGCAGCGTTAAACAAGCATATGTTACTTCACAATATGTAGTCTGAAAATCCGCAATTACTTATTAAACCTTTGAAAATGTATCACTTCTCCTATGTTCACACATGTCTTTAGGGTTAGAAATGAACTTTTGTTTCACTAGTCCGTAAAAATGATCTTCAGAGATGCCGTCTACTAAATAGTTGTACTAATAGTCCAGAAAGAAATGTGACTAGTCCTTCCTGACCTTTACTAGTCTCGCACTAAAAGCTTCCTTTTCAATCAGTGTAGGGATGGTTCGGTTTGGGGTTAAAAAAAACTTGTTTTACCATTTGGTACTTCACGGCAAATGACAGGAAGCTTTTTGGCTAATAAGTTGTTTCTTTCTGTTTGTCTTGAACTAAACTAATAATGTTGCCATGTACTTACTATTAGTGGGATGGATTGTAAAAGTTGACTTATTCAGATGATAGTGTCAAACCATGCGTAAAGGACTACATTATGGTACAAATCCTGCACATGTTTTTTTCTATTTTCATTCAGCAGCTAAAAAGACTCAATAACAGCGTTAGAAATTGTCACTAGTCCTATAGTCCTTGCCAAACTGCCTAATAGTTAAGGTATCATATGGACTAGTAGAAATTTGCCATTTGTATGGGTTTTGCTATATGTTATCATTATAAGGACTAGTGGAGTAAAAATGTTTAAAAACACCCGCTGAATAGGATGTTTTGGACCTGTTTTTTTATGTGTAAAATCAACTTGCATTTCAGACTTCGTGCAGCCCGTGTGCTTCTAGTTGGAGTGAAGGGTCTTGGAGCAGAGGTGGCCAAGAATATCGTCCTTGCTGGAATCAAATCTATCACTCTACTTGACAGTTCACTTGTGAGGACATTTCACTGACTTAAAAGTGAACATCTTTCTGGATATTTATCATGTTAATAGTAGCATACGTGCACAGGTGACCTCCTTGTGTGAAACGCTGCAGTTCACTTAGCAGAGTTGTGTCCCTTGAGCACCCAAGAAACCTATGATTGTGGTCGAATCACGGTTCGCCCCTATTATGTTTCTAGATTTGTCAGCACCATACCCGTGCTTGTGGGTTTCACCAAAGTGGTAAACATCTGAGACCTGCATCACTTTGGGCTGTCCTCCCACATTAAGCTGACACACTGTGATATAACTGGAATACTGTTCAGTGCGGCGTTGAACCTAACTCACTCAATAATAGCAGCCTGGGCTGTCCATGCAAGACTATACAGTCAAGTCCCGTTAATCCGACATCGATGGTTGCATATGATTATGTCGGAATAACGAGTATGTCGGATAAACAAAATTTAGTAGTATCAACATTCGTGATCGAAAATCGGACAACTACACGATAGATAAGGATTCAAACACATAATAAAAAATATAAAATAAATATTCATATTGTTATGTTACGTTGTTGGCGGAATATGTTTTCTAATCATGCAACCTCTAAAGTTTAACACAAAACAACTGTTACGGACTGTATGACCGATTCAAAATACTTTAAAAAGCATAGTCTGGAAAGGAAGTCGCAACTTTGAAACTGGTACCCAAAGCTTAAGAAAGCTGCTTTCATAGTGGCTAACGTCGACTTCCTGTTGGTCATTTCAATGGTAGGTCATAGTTCGCAAAAGGTTGTTCTGACGTGACCTGTAATGGGATGTCCTCGTCGATAGTGAGAACTTGTATCTGATTTTAATAACATTGAGGTAATCTAATCTTGTGAATTATCCTGTTTTCTTTATTTAAAGCATTAATTGTTTATTGTTAAGCAAGTTTGTCACTGCAGCCGTTGTAATATGCACCTACCAGCTGATTCGTCTAGCATCAAAACACAGGCTGTGTACTCGCGTGCAGGTGACCACGGGGTACGCTGATCACTGTGTCGGATTAACGAGACTGATTAAGAGTGATTTCGGTAATTTGTTGCAAATTAGGTGTGTCGGAGTCGGAATGCGAGACTGTCGGATTAACGGGTCTAAATAGCACTGATTTAATCGGTTCCCATCATTAGTGTCAGATAAAGCCGATTTTCGGATTAACGAGTGTCGGATTAACGAGACTTGACTGTATATCATTATGACTATGATGTGGCATCCCAATATGGGCTAGATGTTGTACTAGTACTTTGTCCTGAAGTTTTTGTTTGTTTTTGTTTTTTTACGAATTTGCAAGTAAATTATGAACATATGATTTCTTCCTTCCTTCATAATAAATATATTCCAATTAAGGACTAAAATTTAATAAACACTGGAAAAGAGAAGGTCATTATTTAGCCTTACACCATCTTATAACTTGTATGGCTGAAAATGACTTTGTCAGTTTACCGAAGCCAGTCAGCATCCTAGATGTGCCACATATTTCATGATGATGATCATGCTTGGTTTCATCTGCATCAGGCCCATGTCTATATGCTTCACCAATGGGTAACCATTTATGACCTGCATTCCTTATGTTACTGTCGCCTTAAACCAATATCTGACATGCCATGATATTTTGAAATACCATTGAAGGAGAAGAATTAGAATAGACAACTGAAATGTGGACCTGATGATAAACAAAAACATTGACATGTTTTAAGAATAATATATATTGTATTGATAATATATAAGTAGCACAGTGATTTCTCAGGCCATTCTGTATATTAGTCATGTAGTGATTTCTCAGGCCATTCTGTATATTAGTAATGTAGTGATTTCTCAGGCCATTTAGTATGTTAGTAATGAAGTGATTTCTCAGACCATTTAGTATATTAGTAATGTAGTGATTTCTTAGGCCATTTAGTATATTAGTAATGTAGTGATTTCTCAGGCTATTCTGTATACTAGTAATGTAGTGATTTCTCAGGCCATTCAGTATATTAGTAATGTAGTGATTTCTCAGACCATTTAGCATATTAGTAATGTAGTGATTTCTCAGGCCATTTAGTATATTAGTAATGTAGTGTTTTCTCAGGCCATTTAGTATATTAGTAATGTAGTGATTTCTCAGACCATTCTGTATATTAGTACTGAGTGATTTCTCAGACCATTTAGTATATTAGTAATGTAGTGATTTCTCAGGCCATTTAGTATATTTGTAATGTAGTGATTTCTCAGGCCATTTAGTATATTAGTACTGAGTGATTTCTCAGGCCATTTAGTATATTAGTAATGTAGTGATTTCTCAGGCCATTCAGTATATTAGTAATGTAGTGATTTCTCAGGCCATTTAGTATATTAGTAATGTAGTGATTTCTCAGGCCATTTAGTATATATTAGCACTGAGTGATTTCTCAGACCATTTAGTATATTAGTAATGTAGTAATTTCTCAGGCCATTTAGTATATTAGTAATGTAGTGATTTCTCAGGCCATCCAGTATATTAGTAATGTAGTGATTTCTCAGGCCATTTAGTATATTAGTAATGTAGTGATTTCTCAGGCCATTCAGTATATTAGTAATGTAGTGATTTCTCAGGCCATTCAGTATATTAGTAATGTAGTGATTTCTTAGGCCATTTAGTATATTAGTAATGTAGTGATTTCTCAGGCCATTCAGTATATTAGTAATGTAGTGATTTCTCAGGCCATTCTGTATATTAGTAATGTAGTGATTTCTCAGGCCATTCAGTATATTAGTAATGTAGTGATTTCTCAGGCCATTCAGTATATTAGTAATGTAGTGATTTCTCAGGCCATTCAGTATATTAGTAATGTAGTGATTTCTCAGACCATTCTGTATATTAGTAATGTAGTGATTTCTCAGGCCATTCTGTATATTAGTAATGTAGTGATTTCTCAGGCCATTCAGTATATTAGTAATGTAGTGATTTCTCAGGCCATTCAGTATAATTGTAATGTAGTGATTTCTCAGGCCATTCAGTATATTAGTAATGTAGTGATTTCTCAGGCCATTCAGTATATTAGTATTGTAGTGATTTCTCAGGCCATTCAGTATATTTGTAATGTAGTGATTTCTCAGGCCATTCTGTTTATTAGTAATGTAGTGATTTCTCAGGCCATTCAGTATATTAGTAATGTAGTGATTTCTCAGGCCATTCAGTATATTAGTCATGTAGTGATTTCTCAGGCCATTCTGTATATTAGTAATGTAGTGATTTCTCAGGCCATTTAGTATATTTGTAATGTAGTGATTTCTCAGGCCATTCTGTATATTAGTAATGTAGTGATTTCTCAGGCCATTCAGTATATTAGTCATGTAGTGATTTCTCAGGCCATTCTGTATAATAGTAATGTAGTGATTTCTCAGGCCATTCAGTATATTAGTCATGTAGTGATTTCTCAGGCCATTCTGTATATTAGTAATGTAGTGATTTCTCAGGCCATTCAGTATATTAGTAATGTAGTGATTTCTCAGGCCATTCTGTATATTAGTAATGTAGTGATTTCTCAGGCCATTCTGTTTACAGGTTGATGATGAAGACTGCACATCTCACTTCCTTGTGTCAAGAGCTGATTTAGGCAAAAATGTAAGTTAACAGGACTGGATTATACTGGTGCTGGATGGAGGAGATAGTTGTAATAGTTTTTGTTTTCTTTGTTGTGTTTGTTCCACACTCAGCAATATTCCAGCTCTTTGACAGCGGTCTGTGAAAAAATCAAGTCTGGACCAGAGTATCCAGTGATTGACATCATGAGCATCCATCCACGCAATTGGGATACGATGACATGTATCAACCAAGTCAGGGAGCCTGACCACCGGATCCTGTTAGTTGCCTCTTACTACAAGCATAGTCGCCTTTTACGGCAAGCATGGGTTGCTGAAGACCTATTCTACCCCGGATCTTCACGGGTCCATAGGTTGCTGAAGACCTATTCTACCCCGGATCTTCATGGGTCTAGTAGTAATAGAACCCTGTGTAGAATCCAGGTTGTAATTGTTCCCCAGCAACCTATGCTGGTTGTAAGAGGCAACCAAATGGATTGGGTGGTCAGGCTCTGTTCTGGTCATGATATGACATGGTACAGATTGCCGTCACATAGTTGGAATATAGTTGAGTGCAGCATAAAACAAAGAATATAGTTGAGTGCAGTATAAAACAAAGAAACATACAACAGGGAAATAAAAAAGTTCTAATACTGTGCAATCTTTTATCTTTGGTACATAAATTGTCATCACTGGTCATATCTGAATTTTGTCGAGTAACCAGCATTAATTCCCTATCTCCAGCGTGCTGAATCCTCCCTTCATCGTGTCCAGCTGCTCAACCCGATGGTGCAAGTTTCAGCTGACTCCGGGGATGTTGTCGCCAAGGACGACTCCTTCTTCTCCAACTTTGACGTCGTCTGTGTCACCTGCTGTCCAGCAGCCACTCAGTGCAGAATCAACAAGATTTGTGCAGGAAAAAAGATTCAGTTCTTCAGTGGAGATGTCTTTGGTTACTATGGTTACATGTTCAGTGATCTAGGAGAACATGAATATGCAGAGTGAGTTGTTGGTTATGCAGACGTGTTGTATTTTACTGCAGTTGTTGAGGATTTGTAGTGGACTGGTCACTGTCAACACTTCACAGGCTGGTATGCACTACGTCCCCTTATACCCGTGAAGATACGGGCTAGATTTGGGCATCAGCAACCCATGCTTGACGGAAAAGGCGACTATGTTTCATGTAAGAGGCGACTAATGGGATCGGGTGGTCAGGCTCACTTACTTGGTTGATGCATGTCATCGTATCCCAATTGTGTGGATTGATGCTCATGATATCGATCAGAAGATTTTCTGGTTCAGATTCGATTATTTACAGACTGCCTTCATATATCTGGAATATTGCTGAGTGCAGCATTAAACAACAAACAAACGTCCCCTCAATTGTGAATACATATGGAGTGCAGTGGTGTACTGCAGTTTAGTCAGCTAATCAAGGTCAGTGTATTCAGGGTGGTGAGAAACATAGTGTATACAAGATCTTGAAGTATTGACCAACAGGCATGATGCACTACAGTAGACTAAAGTATGGCCAGGAGGGGATTAAGTGAAAAAGAAATTTGAATGACCATGATGACAAGAGTCGCTTCCCTTACTTGTAATATTGAAGTGATATTTGTATAGCTAAATGTTGACAGAACAGAAACAATAGTGTTTGTTAGTCTTGGGTACCCTTAGGGCGGTCGGGTAGCCTAATGGTTAAAGCTTTCGCTCGTCATGCCGAAGACCAGGGTTCGATTCCCAACATTGGTACAATGTGTGAAGCCCATTTCTGGTGTCCCCCGCCGTGATATTGCTGGAATATTGCTAGAAGCGGCGTAAAACCATACTTACTCACTCGCTTGCGTACCCTCAGGAATATGTCGGGTATTTGTGGGTGGTCCCCGGCATAAAAATATATATATATATGATTGAAGAAAATGGTATAGGGATGATGTGAACTTGTGATAGTATTTTTCATTAGAATAGAGAGATCTGTTGAATGTCCTGAGGGCCTTGATACATGCTGCTATAGTACTTGAATCTAGGGGGGCACGGGTGGCCCAGTCGTCTAAGGCGCCGCGATTCGCTGTGCAGAGTTGCGTCCCTTGGGCACTCCAGAAACCTATGATTGTGGGTTTGAATCCAGGTTCGCCCCGATTATGTTTCTAGGTTTGTCCGCACCATACCCGTGTTTATGGGTTTCACCGAAGTGGTAAACGTCTTAGACCTGCATCACTTCGGGCTTTCCTCCCACATTAAGCTGACCTGCCGCGATATAACTGGAATATTGTTAAAAGTGGCCTTAAACCCAACTCACTCACTCACTTGAATCTAGGGACCCCTTAGGTTCTTAATGTTTAACATGATGTCATTACAAGGCATCCTTGCCTTTCATGCTTAGTTTTGAATATTGATGTAGGATAGAATGTATTTGTGTTCATAAATGATTGTTATATATCCCAAATGTCCACTCTCCAATCTGGCAACGACTTAGGTGATTCCAGGGTAGAATGGGTTCCCAGCATCCTGTAGTGGTCATAAAGGTGACCACATGGATCAGGTAATCACTGTATTGTCTGGTCCAGACTTGATCATTTACAGTCTGCCATCACATGTGGTGCCCCCTAAGGCAAGTAACTTTGTCCAAAATGTGCCTCTGTTCACCTCGCACTTGATGGGAACCTGGTAGGATGAGATGGTTATGTGGTTGTTACCTCACAGGCAGCTTTGGTTGTATACTCCCCAGGGAGCTGAGAATGAAAATCAAATGCACACTGATCCATTGACAGGGGTAATAATAGTGTAGTGCTATGAGCATCCACTTTATGAATGGTATTTTGGGGCATTATAAATGCACATATTATTTTATCATACAGCTGGAATATTGCTGAGTGTGGCGTTTTACAACAAACAAACGAAAAAACAACCTAGCAAGATGTTCAGTAAAGACTCTAGTTACCATCTGTAACTGTGGCTGCTGGTTGTTTTCTGGGTAGCTGTTTGCTTCAAATATCAATAATGTATGTATGTCTCGCTGTAGGGAGGTTGCAAACACGAAGGCCAAGCCAGATGAAGATGATGAGACAGGTGAACCATCACCCAAGAAGGCGAAGACTCAGGAACCAGATACTCTTGTTGTTAAAAAGGTAATTAGAATTGTCTCCTATCTTCATGTGAATAGAATGTCATTGTTGAATACAGAGTGGGTGTCAAGATTCTCACATTATCCTACTCATGTCAGAACTGAAGAGCTGACACTTGTGGATTGGGTGGTTACTATGTGGACCTAGCTGATCGTGTGGAGAGTTGCTCTTGCTGTCAACCACTAGGTTGACTTGTTATTGGCTGCTGTGATTCAGTTGGAATATCCCTGTGGATGGTCTGGCGACAATATTGTGCTGAGTGACTGATGTAAGGGAGATAACTCTAATACTTGGCAATTTGGGAAGTACCTGTAACAATGATGGCGTGTGTTTGGAATTGTTGGAATTATTTTGAAATGTTATGAATTAAGGAGATTGCGTGTATGGGTTGTCGAGGTTAGGACAGTTAGTTGCAAGAATGTTTGACTTGTCTTTGTCAGTTCTGTGTTTGAGTTCAAGCAATGCACTGCGGTGAACTGCAGCCAGCCTTCTTGTCTCTTTCAACTGCTGTACTGGAATATTCTACATTCTCTCCTCACTGACATGGTGGCATCGTCCTGAGGCAAGGGTGTTAACTGACTACAAAAGTGCAGTTTCCGTTCTTGCCGAACTACACCGGAATGTCAATAGAATGTCCCTCCTATTGACCAATGAGATTCCACCTCTCATACCACTTGCATTTGCTTCAAACAAAATAGTGGCCAGTGAAGATGATCTGATCGATAATCAAGATCTATATTGTAATAAAACGAGTCTTTCCTTGCCATGTGCATAAAATCATTTGAGCACCTTGATTAAGAACATGAAAAGATTTGTAAATATCTGTCGATGCCCAGCTGACGGTACACATGCTTTGCAAATCCTGCAGTCGATCGAAATCTGCACTTTGAATTCCTTGTTTACAAACAGGATGTCTAGTTTGTTGCTTGATTTTGATTGGACTGTGCATAGACTCTTTAGTCCAGCCAAAATGTAACTCCGCAATACCAGCCTAGTTCGGCACTTTGGAAACTGCACTTTTATAGTCAGTTAACTCCCTTGCCTCAGGAAGATGACATGGAAGTTGTGCGGTCAGTTTCATTAGGTTTGTGCAGCATAAGATTATAGAAATAATAATGGTAATGTCATTACAATATTATGTTACACACTATGTCTTTAGTGCCAAATGTGTCAGGTAGTGATATATTTGTGGCTTTTCAGTGCATGTCATTCAAGCGGCTTGAGAATGCTCTCAATGTTGACTGGAGCGTAGATGATATGAAAAAGAGACTAAGGAGAACACCAAGCACGTACTTCATCATGCAAGGTAAGATCAGGATGAACAACTGCTTAAAATGCAATAATGATGTCTGCAAGTTGTCTGAAATAATTTTCTTTCAAATAATTTTGCTCCGCAGCTACCAGAATATCAAACGTTTCTGCTTGCTGGATTATGCTTACCCTGAAATACTTTTAGAAAACACATATGTTTTTAAACCAGTTTCAAGTTTAGAATTCTTTTATTAATTTAAAAGGGGGCACCGGTGGCCCAATCATCTAAGGCGCCGCGATTCGCTGTGCAGAGTTGCGTCCCTTGGGCACGCCAGAAACCTATGATTGTGGGTTCGAATCCCGCTTCGCTCGATTATGTTTCTAGGTTTGTCAGCACCATACCCGTGCTCGTGGGTTTCACCGAAGTGATAAACGTCTAAGATCTGCATCACTTCGGGCTTTCCTCCCACATTAAGCTGACCTGCCGCGATATAACTGGAATACTGTTAAAAGCGGCGTTAAACCAAACGCACTCACTCACTATTAATTTAAAAAAACAAAAAAACACATTGTTTGTTTCAAATGTTGTGAAATAATGCTATTTAATTCAAGGCTACTGTTAACAAACTTTATTCAGATAATATTGTTGCTATTATCTGGTTTGGGGTGTCTTTTCAGTGCTTCTAGACTTCTACGGCAAACACAAGCGGAGACCTCTGATCAAATCTAAGGCTGAAGATGTGACGGACCTGAATGGACTAAGGGAGACAACTCTAGACAGACTGAAGGTGGACAAGAAATTTGTGCCAGAGGACTTTGCTAGGTAAAATATTGTTAGAAGGTGAAACAACAGTGAATTAAGCTGTACATCACAATCAGAGAGTCAGAGCATGTTGTTTTCTAGAATATACATAGTATTTATGAGATATTCATAAGATTTAGATCCATAGTAGGACTCCGATCAGTGGTTGCCTCATAATTGGCACATTTATAAATCAAGTAATAATGTCTTGTCCTGTGCGGATTATTGGATCTATGGCTCATTCTTGACCTGTTCTGCTCCACGTCCACAAATGGGTCCGATTCTCACTGTTTGTACATGTGTATACAGCTAACAGGTCACACAGGTGGTCGCTGAGACTCATTGGGCAGGTAACTAGAGCTGAGTATCGCCTGGTATCTTGCGATACACCACATCAAATAGTATAAAATGATGAAAGCATTGAAATACATCTCCTGACACTTGAGGGAGAACAGTTACTTTGCTGTCCACAGCCCTTGACAGTTCCCCTTCAAAGTAATGAAAGGGAGCAACTTGAATACATCACTGTAAGGTAATTCAGTACGGTACATGATAGGGTTCAGCAGGCTAAATTCTACCCAAACATTATATTGGTACTGTTCTTCAGCTTTCCAGTGTATTCATTGTAAACCAATGGTACAAAGAGATTTGGTAGCTTAGAGGTTTAGCTGTTGCTCCTATGCCTGATTTCCACACATGCTGAGACTGTTCTGGGGGAAACACCCTACTCACTCACACAGTGGTAAATCAGTCTGCTTTTATGGATTTTGAACCTTTCTGCTGCAGTTTCTGTTTTGCGGAGCTGAGCCCTGTGTGTGCTGTTGTGGGAGGAGTACTGGGACAGGAGATTATTAAGGTGAGAGTTCACTGGAGGAATGGTGGGCTTAGTGCTGTGTCTTATTGAAAGTATGATGACGTGAAGTAAATAAAATCATTTACCCTTACCTTATAACTGAATTTTCTAACATTGAGAACAATATACTACACACACAGTCACAAATAGGTTCAACAACAGGAATTTCAGTGGTATGTTTCTGAAATAATAAAATTTTATCGTCAAGGTAGAAAATGGATCAGTCAGTTTTGGCTCTTGTCACAAAGATTTTGGCAGCAATCTTCCATGAATTTATGTTTTCAAATCATCATCATGAATCTATTTTAGCTTCATGAATAGACCATTGCGTCATTATTTATCATAAACTGAATTTTGAAGAGAACCATTATTTACCAGATGGTACTATTCCTAATGAAATACTCCAAAATATGAAAGCCTAGATCAAGAAATTGTGGGTGCAGAGTATTGTGTTGTGTATGTCCAGATGTTCTCAGCTGTATTATTTAGGAATGCAGTATTTCAGGACCAGAAGGTGTCCTTGTGTAAAATGTCATTTTGAATCACAAACACCGTCAGTATTTTGACATCTGCTGTCAGGTCACAAGCTGACATAATTCTTATGAATTGTGGAAAGCTCTTGTAGTGTTTGGATTCTTTTGTGATTCAGTATTGCTGTCTGGCAATTTATTTGAATCTTTCACAGTGATTCAAATGAACAGGAAAGCATAGGATACATCCACACAGGTCAGATGTTGTCTGTGACAGGGACATCATTATTCATTCATAATTGTCAGTTCAATTGATGCTCCAGACCCAAAAACTATTCCTTGTTTTTTATATAATCCTGTTGAGATTTCGGTTGGAATAGCTCGCCAGCAAGCCGTGCTGGTCATAAGAGTGACCTAATGAATCAGGTGGTCCGACAGGGTGACTTGGTTGATAGCGTGTCATTGTACCTCAACACCAGGATTGTGGTTCATAATATCAATCACTGGCTTGTATGGTCCGGACTCAGTTATATACAGACAGCTGTGAAATAGCTGGAAAATTTCTGAGTGTGGTGTTAAACAACTTGCAGACACCCTTTCCGGGATATTGCTGCAATGTTAATGACTGCTGGAACTCCTCACTAACTCACTGTATATTTGCAGGCTGTCTCCCAGAAGGACCAGCCCCACAACAACTTCTTCTTCTACAACGGCATTGATGGCAACGGCATGGTAGACAACATCGGCAGCAGTCAGCATTGACAATATGACAATTGATGATTGAAGTTTTGCAGTCGATCCAGTGTAAAATACATCCAATGAGAGTTAATGCATATCTCATCACTGACATTTGATGCTGAAAGTTTGTTTAACACAAGACAGAAGGCTCACATTTGTTTTCAGGCATTCAAAAAGTTATAAACATACACCAGGTAACCAAACTCAGGAAACTTTTCGTTCATTTAGAATACAACAGGTTGCACACCTGTACAATTATTTTGCCATCCAACTAAATTTACAAGTTAGGCTTGCATCCTCTTTCTTTTTCAAAGAGATTTAGCATCAGGTGTCTTGAGATGTTGAGTGAACTGTTTGATTGGCATTCTAGAAGTTGGTGAGTAATTTAGAAAACGTACAACTTTATGGATAATATATGCAATAAACCAGAAGTTGTTATCCATAAAGTTTTCTTACTGTCTTGGACTGAGTTTGAAAATGTTCCTAGTATTCTGGTCAGTGTTATGCTGTGATCTAAATCACTCACTCAGAGTGCTCAATGTTCCTGAACAACAGTTTTGGAATGCCTGGTCCTTGATTTGAGATGTTTTGATGGAAACAGTGAGGGATGCCTGTCTGGAGGCTTCTTCCTAAACTGAATGAACCGTCTTTTCTAATTCAGAGTCAAAACCGACATTATCGGTCTAGTTCACTGCCAACAAGATATCATTTTAGCTCAGATGACCTCATGCCATGTTTGTCATCCATCACCTTTCATAAGCCTTTTTCACTTTGGATTGACCTGTATCAATTCCTGCTTATGAATGGACTCAAGTTGTTTAAGGCATCACATGATCTTCTTGGAAACCACGAGACTGGGCGGTATCTTCTCTGTGAATGGTAACAATCCTAAGTAGCTTGTTCAAAGCATCTTTGGACAATGTACCAATGTTGCTGAGGCAGCAATTTCAAGTGATAAAAGGGACCAAGTTGGATCAAACTTGGCCATTGTGTTGATGACTACAATCAAGGTGTCTGCCTTGTTTTTCCATACTTGTGCAGGGTGAACTACAGTACCCTGGCCCCATTGCTTGACAATATTGCCACTGCTTCCACTTGAGTTTCCATGTTGGAATATATTACAGCTTTTTTGTTTCATTTTGATTGTGTTATTTGTGCTATACATCAATTGTTTTGAAGTTCCACTTTTCAGATTAGACATTCATAAAGTATTGTTTAGAAAACTAGAAATGGCTTCATTTGGCCTTTGAAAACTTATTTTCTCAGTTCAGTTTAGTTGCTGGACATTTTCAAATCTGAGCCAACAGAAATCAAGCACACATGTTATCATCTTCATTGAAACATTGTCAGTTTTGGCATGGTCACTGCTTGTGACTGTTTTGTAATAAATGCAATATATTTGTGTTCTTGTTCTGTTATTGGTGTTCCCTGTGGAGATTCCGGGTTAGAATTGATCCCAAGCAACTTATACTGATCATATGAGTGGACCTTATGGATAATCGGGTAATCGAAATAGACCCGTGAAGATCCGGGGTAGAATAGGTCTTCAGCAACCCATGCTTGCCGTAAAAGGCGACTCTGCTTATCGTAAGAGGCTAATAACGGGATTGGGTGGTCAGGCTCGCTGATTTGGTTGATAGATGTCATTGTATACCAATTGCATAGATCGATGCTCATGATGTCAATTACCAGATTGTCTGGTCCGGACTTGATTATTTACAGACCGCCGTCATATAGCTGGAATATTGCCGAGTGTGGTGTTAAACAACAAACAAATATGGATCGGGTGGTCAGACTCTGTGATTTGATTGATGGCGTGTCATCATACCCAGACAGTGGGGATTGTTGGTCGCCACAATCACTGTGACCATTGCTGAGTGTCGAGTTGAACAACTAACGAAGTTATTGATGTATCAGAAAAATTGATTTCATTGTCAAAATGGCAGTTTCACTATTCTAGAGACTGAGTCTCCATGAAGATCCAGGTGAGAATTGTAAGAGGCGACTCTGCTTGTAAGAGGCAAAGAATGGGATTGGGTGGTCAGGCTCGCTGATTTGGTTGATGGATGTCATTGTATCCCAATTGCATAGATCGATGCTCATGATGTCAATCACCAGATTGTCTGGTTCAGACTTGATTATTTACAGACCGCAGTCATATATTGGAATATGGCTGAGTGTGGCATTAAACAACAAACAGTAATATAATAAACTAACAACTTATACAGTGAAATACTAAAAATAGTAATTGTATCATTGAAATACTGACGAAGTCATAAACATCCCCTTTAGTCTTTAGGCAAGTCCAGCACTGTGTATTTATGTATTTCAGGAAGGAAAATGTAACACAAATATAATTGAAGCCTTTGAAAGGCATTTAGAATTGAAGCGCTCATAATATCAACTTCACTTAACATTTATAGATGCTTCAATCAATTATTAAACCTAGACTTGACGGTGTTTGTCAAGTGAGTGAGTGAAAATTTAACACCGTATTGGCAATGTTTCAGTTATCATAAGGCGACAACTAGCATTTCTTTTTTAAAAAACCCGTCATGAATATATCAAAATCGAGTTCCACTCACTGTCATTTAATCGATGCTCATGATGTCAATCACTGGATTGTCTGGTCCAGCCTCGATTATTTACAGACCGCCGTCATATATCTGGAATATTGCTGAGTGCGGCGTTAAACAACAAACAAACAAACAAACAAACAATTTGTGAAAAGTTCCATCTTTTAATAAAACGGTCCGTTTATTATTTGGAGTCTACTCACAGACATGAATATTTAGTTAGAAACAGCATAGCCATAGTGAATATTTAAAGGTGAATGTAATTGAAAAAAAGTTCTCACATCAATAGTCCGTTGATAAAGGGAGATAACTGCAGACAGAAAGATCCCATGATGCACCTTTGTTTACAGGTGCTCCAATATGGCTGCTCGGCCCTCGTCACCTGGGGCAGCCGAAGTGATCAGGTACCATCGGCGGTTGGACAGGACGCCAGAAAAACAGTTTCATGAATTACCCGACACTGACAAAAAATTAATCAGTCAAATTCGGCGAGCAACAGAGAAAACTGTGACATCTGTCGGGAAACTAAAGGACGATATAGAAGAACGGTTTGTGATACGAACAGTGTTTTTAGTAGATTTATTAACTGAAAAATCTATGTGTATATCACATAATTCTACAGCTCATGACATTGAACAGTTATGAACACCCGTGAATCATTTATACCTTATTGATTTCAAAAATCGATTGGTGTATACGCGTGTCATGTTCACGTGACACCTAATATTCAACTATCAAAACATTTGAATAAAATCTCGGAACACTGTATAACTTGCCCAAAAGTTGGTACTACAGCTGCGTATTAGCACTTAATCAGGTACAAGACTTTGGTCAATTCAACCTTGCAAGTTTGATTCAAGTTAATCAAAATCCAGTCTCTTTATTATGTAATGAAAGACCCCCAAAGCGTGTATTTTTAAAAAATCTTGTGTATTAATAACTCAACACTGATAAGGAGCCAGTACTCAAACAACACCAACTACACCTGTGTCGAAATGAAACGGTCGGTTACACATGCAGGTTCATATGTCGTGGGTTCACAACTTCACGCGTGTGGTGAATGAATCACTCGGAGATATGCATTGATAATGACAGAGTTCATGTTGACAGGGGAGTTTCAGCTATTTGGCTGAAATTGTTTGAAATAATACACAGTTGGAACAATAGAGTGACGTCATAAGCTGAACTATCCATCTAGCAGCTAGTGATTACACAGAGGTAGTGTCTCCATTTTACATAGGGTACTAATTACAAAGGCTAGACCTTGACTGGAAAATGTCTGCAGACAGCAGAGCCTTAACCCTTATTAAACCATTTCCAATAGTACCCATGGTACTTGAAGTCATCAGAGCATGTCAGCACAGCAAGTGTGATTGTCACTGGTATCTTCTCAGTTCTTGGATAATTTTGTCATGTTTAGGAAAAGGTATTGCACCAGTGAATCGTTTTTATTATCATGAGTTTTACATTTGAGTGGATGAAATGACACTGCAGTACTGTGCAACACTGAGGGCTTCCAACCACAATCTGTTCTCATCTCGAATACTCGTTAATCAGACATCTGACAAAACATCTTGATAAAAAATAACCCTGCAAGATGTATGGTTTGTGAAGGTTTAAAGGGAAACACATCTCCAACTTCAAAAGTTTTGAAACATGGATGAGCAGTGCAACATGATTTTTCTCATGGAACACGTTGTTAATATTGTCAACTATATTTCAGTTATCATGCATTATGTATCACGGAACTTTGTGTGTTGGTTTCAAGTTCATTGTTTGGTTACTGTCATTGTGTTTTGTACATAGTTTACAGCTGATCTAATTTGTATCAGTTGGGGTTATCTCTGTCATGATGTCATAATCTTTGCAATAATGTTACTACTCACTGCAACATCGTTGAGGTATGTTTCAAATGTTATACATGACATGGTGAATAAACAAAATATATACACCAAGAACAATGGCTATTTGAGTGTATGGTGCAACATTGTTTCATTGTGTTGGACTGTTAGTAGGGTTGATGTCCATTTGCAATAATGAGTTATTGAATAATTAAAGAAAGATTGAAAAAGTTTTTCAATTTATTATTTTGATATTAAGATGGTTGTATTATATATGAAAATATCTGTCTGTGGGTTTAACATTTGTTTAATGGATACATTACTTCTAACCTTTTAGATTTTCATTCAAGAATGGCTAATTGCCTAATTATGACAATGATTTGTTTGCAGAGAGAAAACCATTGAAGAGGAAAGATCTTTACGATTGGCTGTTGAAGAAAGGTTGAAAGGGCACTTGGTTGATATGTACAAAAGTGCTGATGTTAACAGTGAACTAAGAGATAGGTTACCAAGGGCAAATAAAACAGACATTTTAACATCAGAGATGTTGCCTACCAGAGAGCAAAGCGAGCAGAATGGTCCAGCCAGAAGCCAAGTTACTGAAGCAATGGACCCAACAATAATGAAACACAACCACATAAATGGCCCACCTAGGAGCCAAGTTACTGAAGAGATGGTGTAAGTAATATTTTATCAGTGTCTATATAATATCCTGTATGGGGATTCTTTAGAAGAATAGATCCCCATGGACCACAGAATAGGTCCAGATGTGGGTTAGAGACTGGTCAGAAATATAACATAGGTGATTAAAAACATTCTTGGTCATATGCTGTTTTTTATCGCATCTATTGTGGTAATGTGAATGCCATAACTCCAAAAGGAATAACTGTTGTGTTTTTGTCTAAATCATTTCTTGTTCTGAGGCCGAAGGGTCTGAGTTTGAATGTCGTTGTTGAACATTTCGAACATCACTCTGCTAGGCAACATGACATAAGCACCAAAAATGGTGCCCTTATTCACAATTTATTTGTCGTTATAAGCGGTGGCCAAATGGATCAGGTGGTCAGACTTGGTGACTCGGCTGACAGCATGTCCACGTACCCCAGAGGTGTGGATCGTTGCTCACAATATTAACCACTGGATTGTTTGGTCCAGACATTATTATTGAAAGGCACGTACATATAGCTGGAATATTGGTGAGTGCGGCGTTAAACAACAAACACATTTTATTTTACATTAAAAGAACACAAATTATTATGAATCATGTCTAACATGTAAACAAAATGTTCAAGACAAGAAACTTCATTTAGGTACAGCAGCATGAAGGTTTGTGATGAACAAACCAACAATGTAAAGGCTAGGGTTCTCACTGATTCTAAATAATGCTGAGAAATGTTATTATAGTGTTTATGGTTTGCATACTACTGGAAGAGTTGACAAACTGTGCCCAATTTAATTTGATGATATCTGCCCAATGTCTTTCCAATACCAGTGTTTTTCTGACCTTATCCATTGATGTTCTTGTGTCTTTTCAAGGGAGATAATATTATGATTTCCATACAGGAATGAATTACCTCCCTTCTACTATGATTCATACATTTTTTTCTGGTGATGTGTTAGCCAGCTGTGACAATGTATGAAGTGACAGCTTGTAGGTGTTGTAGGTTATTGTTTTCCCTCATAGTAGATTGACAGATTTATCCTTTAAGGTGTGTTTACCATCAATATTTCAATAATCCAACTTAATTAATTCTATTTTAATAAATATTTAAGATATTCTGAGAGAAAAAATATCATCCTATATTTTGTATCATATTAGTTGTGTTTAGATATTCTGAATATTGATAATTTCTTTTCTATATTAGAAATGTAATAATGCTGCTTTATACTGTACTGGTTAAGAATGCTTCTCACTGCCAATACTCTGTGGTCTAGTGTGTACTGTTCTCTAGAGGAACATAGTGTAGTCTTGACTTCAACACTTTTTAAGTTAATGGAGATATAAATATTAATGTAACAACCAGTGTCTACACTGAGTAAATCCATATACCTCCATAAACGCAAAAATATAATTTAGTCAACAATAATAACTTCACAGATTGTATATTTAATCATTAACACACAAAAAACTGAAGACAACAAAACAAATTCAGTGACCTCATTCAGTGCAATAATGCAACACAAGTCCCACCTACCCTATTATCAGTAAGTCAGGAACCGGAAGTCCTCTCGTAGGTAGTGCCATCTCTTTTTTTGGTTTATGGAAGTACAAAAAAATATTGCTTGGTTAGTCAATCAAATGCCATGGAGTCACTTGCAGTATATTTATGAGACCTTGACTGGAGGAAGAATTTGTGTACAAGACAGCAAGTATTGATGTATTGTTTAGCAAGTATTGAAGTATTGAAGTATTGTTTAGCTTGACATGCTTAGAGTGAAAAAAATATTAAATAGATTAGATCCCTAGGAGATTCCAGGGCAGAATAGGTCTACAGTGCCCCATGTTTGTCATGCATAGTGACTCCAGGGCAGGTCTACAGTGCCTGATGTTTGTCATGCATGGTGAATTCAGGGCAGGTCTACAGTGCCCCATGTTTGTCATGTATGGTGACTCCAGGGCAGGTCTACAGTGCCCCATGTTTGTCATGTATGGTGACTTCAGGGCAGGTCTACAGTGCCCCATGTTTGTCATGCATGGTGATGCCAGGGCAGGTCTACAGTGCCTCATGTTTGTCGTGCATGGTGACACCAGGGCAGGTCTACAGTGCCCCATGTTTGTCATGCATGGTGACACCAGGGCAGGTCTACAGTGCCCCATGTTTGTCATGCATGGTGACTCCAGGGCAGGTCTACAGTGCCTCATGTTTGTCATGCATAGTGATGCCAGGGCAGGTCTACAGTGCCCCATGTTTGTCATGCATAGTGACTCCAGGGCAGGCCTACAGTGCCCAATGTTTGTCATGTATGGTGACTCCAGGGCAGGCCTACAGTGCCCAATGTTTGTCATGTATGGTGACTCCAGGGCAGGCCTACAGAGCCCAATGTTTGTCATGTATGGTGACTCCAGGGCAGGTCTACAGTGCTCCATGTTTGTCATGCATGGTGATGCCAGGGCAGGTCTACAGTGCCCCATGTTTGTCATGCATGGTGACTCAAGGGCAGCTCTACAGTGCCTCATGTTTGTCATGCATGGTGACTCCAGGGCAGCTCTACAGTGCCTCATGTTTGTCATGCATGGTGATGCTAGGGCAGGTCTACAGTGCCCCATGTTTGTCATGCATGGTGATGCCAGGGCAGGCCTACAGTGCCTCATGTTTGTCATGCATGGTGATGACAGGGCAGGTCTACAGTGCCTCATGTTTGTCATGTATGGTGACTCCAAGGCAGGTCTACAGTGTCCCATGTTTGTCATGTATGGTGACTCCAAGGCAGGTCGACAGTGTCCCATGTTTGTCATGTATGGTGACTCCAGGGCAGGTCGACAGTGTCCCATGTTTGTCATGTATGGTGACGCCAGGGCAGGTCTACAGTGTCCCATGTTTGTCATGTATGGTGACTCCAGGGCAGGTCTACAGTGTCCCATGTTTGTCATGTATGGTGACTCCAGGGCAGGTCTACAGTGCCCAATGTTTGTCATGCATGGTGACTCCAGGGCAGGTCTACAGTGCCCCATGTTTGTCATGTAAGGTGACTCCAGGGCAGGTCTACAGTGTCCCATGTTTGCCACACATAGTGACTCCAGGGCAGGTCTACAGTGCCCAATGTTTGTCATGTATGGTGATTTCAGGGCAGGTCTACAGTGTCTCATGCTTTTCATGCATAGTGACTCCAGGGCAGGTTAGGTCTGCAGTACCCCACATGCTTGGCCCCTGGGAGAGGATAGGCTCACAGTACCCCATGTCTGTCCCCTGTGGGGATATCTGAGACAGAATAGGTTAACAACCCCATGCTTGGTCTATGTGGCAATTCCAGGTCAGAATAAGTCTGATGTGAACAGTAAGTTCATTTATGCTTTGGTCAGCAGTGTATCAGCAATGGTTTGTCCATGTTATGAGAGTAAAGGACACAGATTTACTTGTCTGTGTTGGAGTCTTATCCAGACTTTGTGAATATGTGACTCTCACCCCTGATAACTGATAGCCCACAGACTTTCACAGCACCATCAACACGTACCTCTCACCCCTACAGAGGAACTCTCACAGTGACATCAACATGTGAGTCTCACCACTGATGGCTGATAGCCCATGGGCATGCTAACAGTAACATCAGCACATACCTCTCACCCCAACAGAGAAACTCTCACAGTAGCATCAACACATACCTCATCATTCAGTGAACAGGCTCATGAAACATCTAGACCCTGTCCCTGAAACAGTATTCGTCCTCTGCTGATAATGCTGATGCTTAATCAAATGCTGATGAAAGATCTCTTCACTGTAGCATATGGAGTGTAATATAGCTGGCTCAGGTAGTGTTTAGAAGCAGTAAAAATCACTCCGTGTATAAATATATTTATTCCTGTATGTGTATGCCACTAAAACTAACACATGCCACTAATATTGTTTGCACCGTCCCAACTGGGTAGAAGTAGATGTTCTTATTGGTGGGCTTCACACTCAGGAGGGACAGAAATGTAAGTGATTTCCAACGTGACCCAGGGATTATTAGGTGAGGTGAGGTGAAATGGGGTTTAACGTCGCGTCCAAGATTATTGCACTTATATAGCAACGTGCATGTACGTGTGTGTGTTTGTGTGGCTGCTTGTACTAGTCCGGACTGATGCCGATTTATAGTACTAGCTCACTGAGATACCATGCCGCAGTTTAACATGAATACCCCACACAGTATACTGACTCTTACCAGTCCTTGTTTTAGCCCCTTAATGCCGAGCGCCAGACAGGGTAACAACAAGTACCATCTTTTTACGTCTTTTGGTATGACGCGGCCGGGGATCAAACCCCAGACCCCAGACCCTCCGCTCTACCACTAGACCTCAGAGGTAGTCCCAGGGATTATTAAGATAGGTATGCCCTTTGGACTTGTGTGTGTCAGCAAGAAGAGTACCTTTCGTCATTCTTTTGGATGAGTTAATGTCATTTCACCTTGAGGTAGATGAAGCAGTTGCAGTTAATTAAGTTTACGTCCCCCCTTTTCAATGAGTTGAATTACCACTTTATTTTGTGAATCATACTGTTCATTACTTGAACATATGTTCCATTAGCATGAAATTTACTTTTGTGATGTACATTTCTCACTGACCAATTATATTCCAGATATACAATGAACACTTTTTGTAACCAGACAGTATAATTACAGGATTAAACTGCGTGCGTCAGTACGGATTTGTTGACATGGTATTTCCGGCGTTACATGCTCACGGTAATATCTTTGCGTTGGGGTAAAAACATCAAAACTCATTATGGCGTGTATAATGTGCATTGCCTTTACACAGCTGTTTCTTTTGGAAAATGTGCTCACTATACTAAAAAAAATATGCTGCTGAGATCAGAATATATTTTTGGGGAAATACTTATATTTATAAATGTTAGTCCATACATACATGCTGTGATGCATATCTGATACGTTTTTCTCAATCATCCCCCATCGAATCGTGCACATTTTAATCCGTACATACACAGCCTTTTTCTGGAGCCCCGATGATACCATTTTCAATTTCT